GACGCTTCAGGATTCATAATTACAGGTATAATTTCCTAGCTCTTTAGTAAGAAGATAGAAGCCAGATAATACCCTATTACTTTCTATTTAAAAAAGATAACTATAATTAAGAATAGGTATAAAACACATAACTCTAAACTCTTAGCCATTATTCTAGTATTCCATACTTGGCAGTATTACCTAGTATATACCTAGTATACTATTATTATTAAGATAGATTATAATAACTTGAAATATTTTATAACTAAAAGAAAACTAAATAATTAATAGATAAGATAGGCAGAGAAGCTAACTACCTTTAACTTCGTCTTAGAATACTAGCCGGAACGCAGTAATCCCGCTAATAGGCTATTAAGAAGGCCAGACTTTATAGTAAATATAGATAAAGATACTTTATTACTCACGCTTTATAATAAGCTATAGAATATAGAATAGAGAACCCTATAAGTAGTAGTAATAGGACGCCACACTATTCCTATAATGCCGTAATACAAGGCCTAGGAAAGAGAAGGTAGGCACTTCTTAATTAGCAAGATACTAAGAAATTCCAAAGAAGAAGTCTATTTTAGTAATAAAGTAATACCAGAGATACTATTACTTGAGCCTATTACTAGTATAGCTAGTTATAAATAGTACATATCACGGATTCTAGCTATATGAGTAGCTAGGTCCGAAATAGTATATAAGGAAAGCAGAAAAACATTACTTAAACTATTATTATAGTACTAAAGGCTCGATTCATTAGTATAATACCAGTAATATAAATAGTTCTTAAAGGAAACCTTTATTAGAGCTATTAAGACTTGGGAACTTAATATATCTGAGTTATTAAAATATCGGGGCACTATCTATATACTAAATAAACCGGCTCTTAAAGAAGAATTACTATAAGCTAACTATAATAATCCTATAAGTAGGCATTTTAGTACTAGTAAAACGCTAGAGATCCTCTAGAAAAAGTACTTCTAGTAAAGTATAAGAAAGAACATAAAAGACTATATTAGAACTTGTCCTATATATTAATAGACTAAGGTAAAGAGATATCTACTATACGGTACACTTAGTTTATTTCCCCTTCCCTCTAAGCCATGGCAAGAAATTACTATAGACTTTATTATAGGGCTACTTCCTTCTAGGTTTCATAGTAAAATATATAATTCTATACTTATTATTATTAATAGGTATACGAAAATAGCATAATATATTCCGACTACTAAAAAGATCTCGGCTCTTAAACTAGTAGAGCTATTTATATACTATATTATTAAAGACTTTAGCATACCTGCAGGCATAACCTCTAATAGAGGATCTGTTTTCATAAGCAAGTTCTAGTTAAGTCTATACTTTTACTTAAAGGTTTAATAATAGCTAAGTATAGTATTTTACCCGTAAACTAATAGATAAATAGAGAATCTAAACCAAACTCTAGAATAATACTTGAGGTATTATACTAGTTACTAGCAGGACAACTAGGTAATAAAGCTTACTCTTACAGAATTCACATATAATAACTTTATATATTTAATAATAGGAATATCCCTATTCTATATCTTATACGGATTCTATCCTAGTATTAAATTATATATTAAGAATAATATTTCAGAAAAAGAGGCACTAGTAATACAGGAAAAAGTATAAAGAATTCAAATAGAATAGGAAATACTAGAGAAATAATAGTAAGAAGTAATAAATATATAGAAAAAGTACTATAATAAGAAATATATTAATAAGGAGTTTAAGATATATAATAAAGTTATACTTTATATAAAGAATATTTAATAGCTATAACCTAGTATAAAGCTAGTAAATAGATATCTCGGCCTCTTTAAAGTTCTAGAAATTATAGAAATATATAAACAGGTATATTACTTGAAATTATTACTATTATATCGGATCCATAATATTTTTTATATTTCTTTCTTAGAACCATAATACTCGCAAGCTAGTACTATAGTAAAACTAGAGCCGGTCGAGATTAAGGGTAAAGAGGAATTCGAGATAGAATCTATTATAGCCTATAGGAAAAGTAAAAAAGAAAGAAAGTATCTCGTTTATTAGAAGAGCTACTTACTAGTAAATAATATATAGGAATCACTAAGTAATCTAGAGAATATAGCTCAAGAATTATAAGAATACTTAGAAAAGAATAATATTATAATACTATTAGCTAAATAGAGGCGCAAAAGATAAATGCTTTTATTAGGAAACTATTAAAAAATCATATATTTATTCTTGAAAAAACCATACGAAAATTATTAAAAACTCTAATTTCTATATCCCATAAATACCCTACTCTTATAATTACTCTCTATTATTCTTATTATTATCCTTATTAGAATTCTCTCGAGAAATAGGTAGTAAATTAGCCTATAAAGCTATTAGCTATTAGTAAGAAATAAGAAAGAAGTAAGCTTACTTAATACCAAAAAATATTAACTATATTATTAAGAGTACTTTATACTTATACTAAGCTAGTAAGAATTACTTAACCTATTCCTTGGATTATTAGAAGAATCCGTTAGCCTCGAATAATAGCTTTAATATAAGAAGTATATATAGTTTAGTATAGAAGAAAAGTAATAATAGCCTTCTTTCTTTTAGGTAAAGAATAGGAAAGATACTTACATATATTAATGGCTTAAAAAAGGCGGTTTAACCACATTATATATGCTTAAAGAACCTTAGATAGTATTAGAATAAGAAATAAAAGAAGGAATTTATAACTTATAGGATTATATTTCTTATTCTTAGAGCGGTAATAATTATATACCGAGTAATTATTACTCTTAATATAAGTAAGGTCAGGAAACTTAGTAATATTCTTAGAATATTAAAGATAATAAGGGCAAATTAAGGATATGGGAGCATTAGCCGAACGGGTAGTAATAGGCTAACGAGTACTAAAAGAAGTATTTATCTTAATAGATTTAAGTAAAAGAGGGAATTAGAAAGGGACTTGAATAAAGCTTAAATAAGGCTTAAAGAAGCTTAAAGAAGCTTAAAGAAGGCTTAAAGAAGGAAGGCAAGAAATAAGGAAGAGCTAAATACGGTATTATGGTTAAGGAAAAGAAAGATTAGTTAGTGGGAAAAGGGAGGCCTTTTTATAATACCCTTTCCCCGAATAGTAATCGCGAATTCAGAACTGGCTCTATATCAGGAATACCCAGAAAATTCCAAAAAAGGAATTCACGAATAAACCAGAAGATCGGATTAACTTTTCCAAGCTCTTGGGCCTATAGAGTAATAATTTATTCGCGAATAGAGGCTAAGTTAGGATTCACGAACTAATTAGGAGATTAGATAAGCTTTATATCCAATAGTATATACTATATTCGCATTACCTTTACGAGAGGAAATTACCAGAGGCAATTTGCGAACTAGCTAGGAAGGGTTAGTAAACTATATCCTTAACTCTATTACCTGGCATAATAATAGGGTAATTATGGGGAGTCTTTGGGGAAAGCTAGCAGCCAGGAAAGTTTTAGGGAAATATTTATAAAGCTATTCGCAGTTTTCCCAGGCCTCTTGGGGACAAGGGCCCAGAGGGGGGGTTAATATAATAGGCACACGTAATAGCGCATGGACAGGTATTAGATATCGTGGATCTAGTTTCCTATTTTGGGTATAGCTTATAATCAGAATTATATGAATCGCATGGGATTTCCTAATTAAGTAAAGGGCTTCGCATGCCTGGCTAAGTACTAGGGAATATATAGGGAGACGCTCCTAGCTTTGGAAGGGGCATTAATTAGTCTCTTGTTAGAATCAATTCTTGGAATCAGTTATACTTGCAAGCATTACTCCGCAGCTTACTTACCTTGACTACTTGTGTATTACCCTACTATTACGTGCCTTACAATTATAAGAACTTAAAAAAAGTCCTATACTAGATTAGCCCAAGTAAAAGAATTATATAAATAGGTATAAATACGAATATACTAGTAATATAGCCGGAATTTCTCAAGTTAATTCTAATAAGACTCGATTCTTTAATTCTTTATACTAGTTCCAAAGTAATAGACCTTCTTAAAAGAAAGAATTAGTATTATTATATAAGAGAAAGTATATTAGACTTTAGTAATAAAAGGAATCTCTCTTTTTTTATTAGAGGAAATTACTCGGGGGTAATAGCCAAGCTTTCTAAATACCTAAAGAAACTGGCCAAGTATATTATATGCCATATAATTAGAAATGCCTATATAGTACTAGATAATATTACGAGAATAAATATTAATAGTAGTATAGATTTGGAAGCCCTATAGAGCTAGCTTATTATACTAATTAAGAGACTACTCCCAATCCGGGCCTTTAACTACTATTTCTTGCTTCTTATACTATATATTATTTATATAATGCTTATAGCCCTTACTATCTAGGCCCTTAATAATATTATAGATTAATTTGCGAGGAGTAGTAACCCCCATTTAACGGAAGTATATCTTAATCAAGCCTGCTTTATAGCCTTTAATTCCCCTATAGTCTAGCTCCTCTTGTATAATACCCACAAGCTACTAGTACTTCTGCTCCCTCTCCTCTATTATTATTCTCCGAATAAGGCCAAGATCTAGCCTATATCGTGCGAGCTATCGGCGGTAGAGAGGTATCCCCTTAACTAAGAGTGCTTGAAGAATTATATTATTATTATAATTGCCTGTAAATAACTCAGAGATACGTAATTTAATCCTCTTAATCTCAGGAGACCCATTCTTCCTATTACGTGATATATTCCAAGCCCTAAGAGTACGCTCGAGGGTAGTTAAGCTATATTCTATATATAAAATTACCCTTATTTTACTTAAAATCTCGGGATATATAAGCTTCTCAGAGACCCAACTAAGAATCTCATTTTTGTAAGGCTCAAGACTAAGCTTTGGAGGCATTCTGAGTATAATCCAATGCGTGCGATATATTAAAAGTGGGATAATAAGGGCAAGTTATGGTTGAGGCAAAATTTGATTTTGCGGCAATTAGTCATAGAAGGTTTTGGTCGTTGTGGTCACCCGTAGGTGCGCAATCGGTCGATCTCCGGGGATTTCTGGGCTCGTGTCGATAAGAGTTGCTTGTAGATTTGTCCTTGAATGATAGACATTCCAATATGATTATTATAGAAATTGACCTCGTTAAGACGGTCGTGGTGTAAATCGATGGTCTCGATAGGTAGGTCGACATCCATATCGTCATCGTCTTGAGCTGGAGGATTATGTGTACGTATGCTGATATCCTTATCATAGATATACACAAGCCAGAAGACACGCTTTCTCTGTTCCATCTCAGCAGCGGCGATCCCAAGTTGGTGGCCCCGCCGATGGAGCTTCATGCCCTGTGCAAGTTTTACTGCTATCGATATCAGAATCGAGCCTGGCTCTGGATTCGGCGTTCCTTGCAGCAGGATAGCCATGCCAAGCAGTGCTTGCACAGCCATGAGCTCGTTTGTGAGCATTGAGAGCTCTCCTACTAAAGCCAAAGCGTTTTGAAGATAGCCACAGGCGTGAACGTCTTCTGTTTTGCTGTTCCCAGTCTTCATAGCGCGGAAGCGATGTGCGAGGGCGAAAGCTACGTTTAGGCATGCCCGCCAGGCCGGGGTATCGTGATTGTTATTTTCATAGCTCGACTCGAAGGCTTTCTGGAAAGTTGCAGCGTCGAAGATAGGAAACGCCGAGTTGAAGCTTGAGAAGGTTTCTTGAATCAGGAGTTGGGCTTCATCCCGTCCTGGGAGTGACTTGATTTCTCGGCTGGGGTTTACTGGAGAGGCTCCTGTGAGTGACCAATCTAAAGGTCTGTGATGTAAAACGGCGGCCGAGGGTAAGTGTGCTGGAACTGGTCAGTTTGAATGTCCCAAAGAGAGTGGTAGGAGTAGAGGCTGTACGTTCGTGAAGCGAGACTGAAATATGCTGCTCAGCGCTTGAGGCCAAGCCAGAAAGGCTCCCAATGGAGGTCCTCCGTTTACGCTTCCGTATGCGCTGCGATTCTGGTGACGCTCTGCGTGGGTGAGTTCCAATACAGTCACTGGGTAGATCCGCGTCGGACTGTTCTCCTTCCACGTCGCTTGCAGCGGGCCGACTCCTCAATTCGCTCTGCAGCATAGCTTCCATCCTCTTCAGTCTCTCCTCAAGCTTTTCCACATGCTTGTATCTATCACTACTTAGTCTTTGCTGCTTCACGTGATTGCGGATTCAACGCCTACCCTGGTGGTCTCCTCGGGCCCTTCTTCGCCTTGATTGGGCTGAAGGTGCAGGGGATATTGGACTTTATACATTGAGTACAACTATCTCGGGATATATCACAACGTATCTTCTTCTTTTTGCATGTATCGCATGCCTGTAGGATTGTCAGTATTGAGCTATACGTAGGAAGGACAGGTGCCGAGACCCTGGTGACCATGACCGCCCTCTCTAATCTAGTCTGGTCCTCCGGCAACGTTGCTAGATGCGCCATGCTGCTACAAACAGTGATAGAACCTCATTTACTTCAACTGGGGATCGACGTACATTAGACAATAGGCATTGACGTATGAGATCCGGCTTAGCGATATCTCTCACGAGTTCCTTAGCATTAATAGAACGCTTTGATTGTAATGATGGACAAGTTGAAGAGCTGGGAAATGAATTGGTAATCCAAAAGCTTGCGGCTTATCTGATCTTGTCTATCCCTCCAGCTTAGTCATAGTCTGACGCATGATCTCCGTCTTGCCGAAAGGAAGGAAGCCTTAAAGCTCAACCACCACAAGAACATTACTTCAATTCCTGCACCCGCATTTGATCTCTTTACGACGCGTTGACAATCAGAAATAATGCGCCTCTTCCCAAGAATGTTCAGGTCCACTCTCCGCCCTAGGCGGAGGGAAAGTGTTTGTATCCCACCCCTTTAACAAAAGTCTGCTGCCAAGGGCCCTGCGACTTCCCCTGCGCAAGATGCGTATACAACTCCCCATGAGCTGCTCCGTCAATTTTGTGGTAGGCAGGTGAGCCGTCGGCATTTCGTTCATCAGCATAATAGAATCTGTAAAGTTTCAGTCAGACTACATCATAAGCAAAGGGTGGTTTACATACTTGTATCCTCGATCTTTGTACGCTATGGCTGCAGACTGGATGATGTGCGCTGTCGCTGATTTTCCAACCCCCGAATTCAATAGCGATGCAATAGTCGTGGTGTTTAATATATTTCCGGTAAAAATGAATGTCTTAGACGCTGTGGGAGAGAGTTGTGCGAAGCCCAAGGCGGCTTGTTGTGCTGCGACAAAAGCGCTGGTTGTGTTGATGTTTAGATCTCGAGTGAAGTTTGCCAAGGGAGTGGAGAGGGGATCCTTCTCATCATTTGGTGGAATGCCTGCACCAGCTGCTTGACCGTCAGTATAAATGTGGTATGAGTTTCAGATAGTGGAAGCTGCTCGTACCATTATAGACAACGACGCTTGGAAAACTATGTGTATCTTTGAGCTTTGAAAATACTCCAATCACAGACTCTGGATCGGACAAGTCGATGGGGATATTGATCCGGGTGGCAGTACTTTCTTCCTCCTTTATCTTTCTAGATGCGCGAGCGACAATGTAGCCTTTTGAAGCAAAGGCCTCAGACACATGGTGCCCAACGTTAGGGCCGAAACCGAGAAGAAGCATGACTGGGGATTTTGCTGCCATGTTTGGATAGAGGTATTTGAGGTACACAAGGAATTCGAGATGAGATGATGATGTTTGAAAATTAAGTCCTATGTCAGTGGTCCTATATACACTTTTCTACCCAGAAAACACGCTGTGGCTTTGTCATTCTCAACGTGAGCTGTGTGGCCCTCGCCCCTCCTGACCTCTACTGTCGTCAGATCTAATCTTCCCGAACGGAGCCTTCGGACCCTCCGGTTCAATTCGAGCCTGGTGAGTAATTCATCGTTCCATCTGAGATTGCAAGATCGCGGAATCTCGCTGACGAATTAATCAAGCGAATAAAATCCTACGTTTTAGGCAGAGATCGACGAGATTCCGGGGAAGCAGGCAAGCCACAGAAACAATTCGGAGCGGAGATTTCGGGTGCTCCGAATGAATGGTGAAAATGCGCCAATCAAGTCAGTCAACGCCAACGATAAACTCGGCGTAGGAACATCTTATGCCATTTGACTCAATGACCAATGCGAAAATTACCAATGTGACCTTTCTTGATCTAGAAACATCCCCTTATGGTATCTATGAGTTGGTAAGAATCATGCTTTGCGATCATCCCCAGAGACAAGAGAACATTTGCCGCGGTCGTGGGACGAGAAAGAAAGTATAAGTACTAGATGGTTTCTGCTATTCTGTTGTCATTGCCCTTACTGAATACACTCTACCTTACATTTACAACACCATTCCTCTCATCGCGCTACTCAGCAATTTCAAATCACCAGTACAATGAGCTCAAACATTTTAATCACTGGCGCGGCTGGTTACGTGTACATCTCACCCAATTTCACCAACACATCAAAACGCTAACGACTTACAGCGGCGGCTCCATCATCGCCGACTTTCTATCCAGCAGTAGTCCAGTGCTCAAGAGAAGCCGTATCACCGCTGCAGTCCGATCTGATGAGCAAGCCAAGCTCCTATCAGAGTCGGGCATCAACGTGCTTCAGCTAGACCTCACAGACGAGAAGGCTGTCGTAGAGAGCCTCGTGAAACATAACAGTGAGTTAGTGATGTGTTTGAAGAGAGAAATTGTCCGTAGCTGATGGGATTATAGTCAACATCGTGATCCACACTGCCAGCTCCCTGGACCGAACCTTGGCACTTAATCTTCTTGCCGGGCTAGCTGAGCAGCAAAAGGCAAGCGGAAGTAAGGCTTACTTCATACATGTGAGTTATGGGTTCTTCACATGCAAAGCATGGGGTTCACATTGGTAGGGTACTAACCTCATCATAGACCTCGGGATTGAGTGCATTCTGTCCGAAGACCGGTTGGCCACAAGGCGTCATGAAAGATTCCGGTCCAATTTTCGAGACCGAGAAGCAATTGGCGGATTCCTTCTCTCTCCGGAAGGTAAGATCACCCCTTTCTAAAACGACATGCGCTGACTCTGACTTCCCAAAGACCGACGTTACCATCACTGAAACTGCCAAAGCACTGGGGATAACCAGCTTCATAGTTGTACCCTCCACAGTTTGTAGGGACCCCTCCAAAAGCTGCTCTCCGGATATCTCATCTAGACTAACCATTTCCCCTAGACGGCAAAGGCAAAGGGCAATGGAACCAACTCTCCGTGATATTCCCAATAGCTGTACAAGCCAGCATCAAACAGAAATCCGTCTCCAAATTCCCTGAGGATGGAGTACGCAAACCTTCAAACGCTTCAACTCAAGACTAACTCTTTTGTAGAACATTGCAGGCGTACACATCTCCGACTTGACAGAACTATACGGACTGATAGTCAAGAAGATCCTTCAAGGATCCGGAGATACCATTCCAAATGGAACGCATGGCCATTATTTCGCGATCGCCCACGAAATGGCATGGTGGGAGACACTGGGCCGTCTCGCGGCTGCAATGGAAGCTCGTGGGCTAGTGGCCAGCTCGGAGACACAGGTATGGACCAGCGACGAAGCAGCTGCGGAGGCAACAGGCGTGCCAGAGATCTTCGTTGAAATATTTTTCAACTCGAGGTAGGTACTCCTCGCTTAGTAGAGAGAGCCATGATGGCTGATCGAAATCTTAGCGCGAACATTATTGTGGACAATGCTTTCAAATTGGGGTGGAAGCCTACGTGGGATAAGGCTCGCTTCTTTGAGAATATTGATGATGAGGTAGTAAGTGTGCTGGAGCTTGGAAAGGCTAAGAGCAGTCTTATCGATTCTCTATTTTTGGCTGCTAAGAATTAAGTGGGGAAGAGTAACTTCATAATACGGAGGATATACGAGAGGCCCGAGGTCTGTAGATAGATAAATCGTGATGAAGGATACAAGCATAATGTTTCTTCGATATGAATCGTGATATCTACCTTCGAAGGCGTTCTAATAAAAAACCGGTAAATGGTCTATAACAACCCCCTCTCAGTATCCTTCGAAACGCTTTTTTTATACCGTACAGTCATTACTACTTTCTACCTCTCGTTCAACTCATACAAGGTTCCAAGATACCACAACAATCACGTGATACCACATCCCTCGAAGAGGGGTGAATACCACCCCAACCGAGCAACAACTTCACAAACCCATGAAAATTGTAATACCAATGCCTCTGTGCCCCGGTCGCTCATCCAAAGTTGCAAACAGTCACAACTTTCAAGTGATCTCTCGCTTCTTTTAACTTCTTTGTTCCTATTGCACGAATGCATCCCAATCTCAATACAAACCCTCCGCTTGCACCAAATAATCTTTGTCTATTCCAAGCTGCAAGATGAAAGGAAATACATCGCTGGATTCTTCCTTGCCCATCCATCTACCTACCACCCCCCCTCCCAACTCTCAAATTCCTCGGAAGAGAGAGAGACACACCGAAAATGTCCTCCACCCAACTGAGCGGCGGGACTTTCTCCTCCTTCTTCAAATCCTTCTTCGCCCCCCAACGCTCCCCCCACACCCCCAATCTCCCTCCCCCAAAACCTCCCCTCGCCATCCGTGTCCCAGCCTGCTTCCAAGTAGAATCCGACTGGCACCTCGAGCACGATCTCACCCTTTCCGCCTACGCAATCTGGGAAAAATCCTTCCCCTTCTCCGGCGACTTCCTTTTGCTAGCCGGCGACTGCGGACGCGTGAACCCCAACAATTTACCCAATTCCACCATCGCAGCCGATCACCAAACAGCCTACAAAGGCATGCTCTCCCGCATCTCAAAAAATTATAAGCACGTATTCCTAATCAGCGGGAACAATGAGCCGAAGACGCTACGTGGAGGTCCGAGGATTGCAGAAACGATGTTATCTTTAAGGAGTTGAGAGCGATATCCCGAATTTGACTGTGTTGGAAAAGCAGAGTGCTGATATAAGTGGGTTGGGATATGATGGTACGATTTTGGGGTGTACGCTTTGGAGTCGGTTGCGATCTGATGCGGCACCAGGAGCCGGCGACGCAGGACAGTGGACTGGCGAGACGGATGCGGAGCATAATGCGAGGTTTGAGCACTCGCTTGCTTGGTTGAGGGCGGAGGTGAAGAGAGTAAGGAAAGAGAGACCGAGTCATTGGATTATTATTATGACGCATCATGCACCGACGATGAGGTGGAGTGCGCAGAATAATAGGCAGGATGGAGGGAGGGAATTTTATGGGGGGCCGACGGGATATTCGAGAAGCGCGCCTTCACCTGATTCACGAGCGCAGCAGCCGCGCCGGGACCGTATACTATGGTTTAACTAAAACCCCATATATTCAGAATACCTGTTGTTACAGTTATTAAGAGACGTTTACGTAGAAAAATTCCCCGAGGCATATTTAATCTTTAGATACTATTATTTTAGAATAAAAATGGACGATATTATTAGGGATTTAGATATCTCTAAACTTGTGGTAAATAAAATTCCTTTATAATACATAAACTAGTTAGATTAGGAGCTTAAGCCCCAGTCTGTCATAAAAGAAACACCCGTTTTTAGAACTAAGATTGGCTTGTATATTAAAGAGATAATATCTTGAAACCCGTGACGAGAAGAAGAAAGGAAGCTGGGGAGCGTCTGAAGGCAGATCCACGCACAAGCTGATACTTATACTAGCGCATCCGCCAACCGAGAAAGCGGATATACAACAGAATCGAAGAATTTCCCGAATACAACAGTCTCGATAGCGGGATCTGGCGTCTCCATCGCCGAAGATGGATCGAGCACGTCGCTCAACAACAACTGCACAACATCATGGTACGATTGCCCCATCCTCGGAGCAAGACGGGGCACGTATCGCGACAAAAGGAGATCGCGAAGCTGGCCGGGGCTGAGCGTACGATTTATGCCTCTCTCACCGCCCTTCGCCCACGCCCGGAGCGGCATCCACAGGCCAATCTCGAGCAACATCACTCCGAGTGAGTAGTAATCGTACCCGTTGCGGTAGTGCTTCGTGGCTTGCCGGTAAGCGGGATGCTGGTAGTCTCCAAACTCCGTGTCAAGCGACGGTCCTTGCGTGTGCCAAGCCTCTCCTCCAGGTCGACTCTTATTCAACCCTACCACATAAGGCTCAAGGAGAACCTTACCTCGCTGCGGGCTGATGATCAAACCCTTACCACTCCGTCTAGAACTGTCGCCACCATCGGTTAAATAATGCGAGGCGTTGAAGAACACCACATTGTTAGAGTGGTAGTTCTCGTGGTACCATCCGATACTATGGAAGGCATAGAGATTGCTAGCGAGCATGCTAGCCAACCGGAACTTATGGCCCAGCAGGGGCTGGAAAATCTGGCTCATGCTTGGATCATCTTTCGCCAGCTTGGCCGAGATCATTAGTAGTTCTAGTAGAGTGGTAATGGTGTACTCGCGAGCCGATATATCTGGCATCCCACGTTGGATGGGTGGCACTTGGTAGACAAATGCGTAACCTGTTCGATTCTTGTCTTCCACTTCAAAAAACTTCAGACAGTTCAACAATCTGAGATCACGCGGCTTTGGTTGTACGCCAAAGCCCTTGGCCTTGTCAGCCATGATGATCGTTCTCTCCGTCGGCGGGACTTTCTCCCAACTGGGGTCGTAGTGCATTGTCTCGACTAGAACTGGTACTCCTTCAGAGCTTGGAACATTCTCTAAGATGGCCAACTCGTGACCAGAAAACTTCCCAAACTTGACGACCTTCGTGTGGATAGTTCTGAGGTTTTGAAGATCTATGTCACTAGCCTCATTCTTGGTGAACTCCAGACGAATCTTCCTCATAATGGCCATGGCGGCTCCTCGTTGGTAAATAGGGCGGTTTTCTGTATTTAGCGCGTTTCCCAAATCGTTAAGCCACTGCGTGCTATCTTGATCCATCAGCATTGAGCGTACCCACAGCATCTCAGCTGTCCTCAGCTCAGTCTCTGGGAGCGTTGCCCAGAGGTCATCCACGAGACTCTGGACGCGGACCCTAAACGCCTCCCAGAGCATTTTTGAGCCATGTACTGTAGGATGCGCGTTTTGAGGTTGTGTGACTTGAAGTACTTGAGCTTGGTAATGGCTATTGTTCACAGTCTGTCCCGGCGAACTAGGTCCGGCTCCCACCTCCCTGAGTTGATGACATAGCTTTAATAAAGTCTTGATGCAGGTCTCGCCATGATTGCAGACGGTTTCAAGTACGGGATCATCAATGGTGGTGCCATTGAGACATGAAACTCTGCCAAAGGCTTTCATTCGTTCCCTTTCGAACCAAAGCTTCATCAAAGGCCTTGGTGTGGGACCTCGTGCCTCGTCGAGTAGAGAATGGAAGAGATCTAGAGCGGCAAGGAAATGCGCCTTTAGGCTAATTTGACTAAGCTGCTTGCAAATAGAGGCGATATCTGGTCGCACATCGGCTGGCACCAACATGGAGAAGATCAGCCTATGGAGGTGTAGGTCGACTGCGGCAACACGACCGTCTGACTTCAAGAAGTCGAGCCACTCCCTCACCGATTCCTTGACCTCTCCACGGCCGTGGAAGTAGCTGTCGGTACAGTTAGGCATCTGATCTCGGGTCGATTTTTTTTTCTTGCGGAATTCGCTCAAGCCGTCTGGCCCATAGGTCATGAAAGTCGCTAATTCAGCCGTCAGACATCCAAATGCCCAGACGTCGACCGCTCTGCCAACATCCTGTTCGATGAACCTTTCATCCATGCATTCTGGAGCGAGATAACTGCCGACGCCAGCCTTCCATGTAGTCCTCGAATCTTCTCCTTCGCCCTTAACCCGGCCCATACCGAAGTCAGCCAGCAGGAAGGTTTCCTCGTTCACAAGGATGTTGGCAGGACGGAAGTCGTGGTGATATCCAACGAGTGATATACCTGGCCCATCGATTTCGGTTGGGATGTAAATATTGTGCGTCCTACTGAGTGCTGAGGACAACCCATGCAGAGCGGAGAAAAAGGTGTAGTCCCATTGAAAGTGGCCATGCCGAGTCGGCTTGTTGAAGAAACCTGCGAGATCCATGTCGAGACGGGGAAACACTAGGCAATAATCGCTGCCATGAACGTAAGCACTTAGGAGTGGGACAATGTTGGGATGCTGAGGGTTATTGAATAGCATCAGACAGCGCTTTTCTTGGTTGAAGGCGGCCCTTCGGCTGTCTTCAGACTTGAAAGCATCAAGACGGAGGGTCTTCCGGATAATAGCAATCGCGACGCCCTAATTACAACGGTACATCAAACTTAGCTCAAGATATTTCGACGGTATGCTCTCTCTCGATTTTGGGTACTACATGAGTCGCTATCTTACCTTGTCAGGATAAAAGTCTTGAAGCGATGAATGGACAGCTAGTTCAGTAATCTCCCCGTACCCGCCCCCTTTCTGTTCCTTCCCTACTCCAATAAAGGGTAGGATATCTAATTGATCGAACTCGACGTCTTCGCCACGGTGGAAAAAGTGTGGTCGAAATTCCAATTGTACTTCTCTACTGAATGTGTTCCCAAAATCAGGCGCGATACTAATGGCGGTGCTAGGGTCCAATGGACCATGGGAATCAAGGCAGCGGTGGCGACGAAATTTGACGATAGCCTCCTCTTGATGCATCCAGACAAGAATGGCGAACGTAATGATGCCATCCTGGTGGATATCCTTTGAGAGGCCGATGCGGTCTTCAGGTTCGCACTCTAGCTCTGCTACGGCTTTTGAGATTGCGAGCGGCGTGAAGATGGCGGTGAGACTAGAACGAGGCACGAAGTACCGACCGCTGATGGATTTGATGCGGTTGTTCTCGATCTGCTTCCAAAGAGACCGTGTGGTCTCTTTCGTGCTCATGTCCATTCAATCAACAATTCGATCCTCTTCATGAAAGATACCTGTGCACCCACGCTTTTATGGCAGGCGATTTGCAAGGCGGCGACGGTAGGCATTCAAACACGGCTTAAGATCACAGAAGATTTTTCGGCCGCCTCTCTCGGATTAAGGCGGACCAATAAACATGGCTTGGCTCTAATAAAATAGGCTATAGTGTAGGCCCGTACTTCGGCATAGGAGGCTTGGGCGAAAAGCGCCTCGTTGCACAACGTAGTGGGTAATAGGAATTGATCTAGCAGACGATTGACATAAAATACAGCATCAGTTTCAACTTAAATTTCTACTCTCATGCCACCGAACACGGCTAGATATGGGCTAACTAGGCAGCGGATAGCCTGCAAGGTTTTCGTTACATAAGTTTTTTGGTAATACCAGCGAAGTGGCTGTGCTGAGGGGCCAGGTCGTTTTTGGCAGGCGGCTTCAGCCTCTGTTACTCCCTAGCGATTCTTCAATACCGACTTTGCCTCCGCCTGTGTTCAAACAAGAACAGTCAGGATCGAGAAAGACCTCATAGCAGCTTCAACGAGGAGATGACAGTGTTTGGGGACTAATTACCTCTGTTAATGCCCGTGGAGTGCTGATTTCGACAGAATTCTCCCCGATCTGCGACGCCCATCAGCACACAAATCCGCTCGTGCTTTAGACAGCCGTAGGAAGTAGCCTGTTATGTTGGATCACTCACATCAATACGAAAATTCGACCCGAATTTGGCTCTCAAGAGGGCATCCAACTTCACCATGTCCACGTATCGGACTTCTAGGTTGGTAATCACTTCAGTCATCGTAACTCGACGTTTCTGCGGTCGGTGCTCCCAGCTCAGTTTGTTGTCAATCCAGTATAAGCGATATTGCGATCCTTTTCCTGAGTTTTTGCCACTCGTTCGAGGAGGTAAGGCTTATTTTCGTGTTCTGCCGGCCGTGGGGAGGGGTATATATCTTCTCGCACCCAACCCGGGCGCACCAGTTTAGTGCGTAATCAGCGGGCAGTCCGCCACGCATTGGGCCACGTGTTGCCTTCGATAAGAAGAATGGCAGATTTGGTGCATCTCGACTAGATTTGTAGCTCTTGCTTTTTCTATCACACTATCTAAAATAGAGCTTTGGTTGTGACCGTGGTATCCGGTTCGCATGCCACAATATCTCGCACGTAGGAGACTTCGGAGTGAAGAATTCAAAATACAATTTTAACGCCGCTCACTGACACAAGCCTCTTTGAATGGTCATGCAATGCGTAAAATAACGAATGGGGTTCAAGCATTGAACTACCCTAGCAAGAACGCTGAGCTGAGCCTCATATCGGCTTCGCCCCATTCCCCTCACTATTTGTTCAGCCACTGACCTAGCTCATGGCCTCTTTATCCACGATGTATGGAGAATCATAGAAATTGTGAACATCTTCAGGTGCTATAGCCAGAATGTCCGGCAATCTGCTTGAAACCCATACTTCCTACCCGTTGTCCTTCCCTCGTGATCCACTTGACTGCTGTGACCTGAGCTCGTACAGCATCGCGCTCGAGAGCAGGGCATCAGATCTATTCATCATTGATGAATCTTTGGTTGACGTTGAAGTACGTGAATATTTTAGGTTGCCTATCACCTCATCATTCTCTAGCGAGCCTCCAGCTTCATTGCGGGCGCATGGAAAACGAGAAACACCTCAGATGGGACCTCAAGATACCTCCTCCGGGGTCCGAATCTTCTCTGTCTCTAATGCCGAGAGTCTAAATGCTACGCTAAATGTACGTCAGTCCATCATAGAGGCTTCCAGTTACAAAGTCGCTCACGGATAGCTTCAATCGCTAACAGTTGAAATATTAACTGCCAACAGACACAGCTGCCGCAAGGGAGCACTAGAATCATGTATGCAGCAGAACATTCTGATCTTCCCCCCTACTGTATGCAGTAGCTTACTAGCGCAGCACGATATTCCGTTACAACTCCTGGAGCCGCATGAATATCACATCCAATATGTTCAAAGCAATTTGTACTTCGTCAGGTGTCCACCCAAGGGTCCTAGATCTTATCAGGGGAATGGGATACAAGTCCAGGCCGACAGATGAGCATTTCATGGGATGCTACTGCTCAACCCAGCATGAGCCCGGCCAGCCAATACAGGATGATGGAACGCTTGTACCAAAGAAGTCAGCATCTCGTGAGTTCGCTCTTACCCTTTACTCCCAAATTTGACTCCAGGATGGCTAACCAACGTTAAGACATGTCTTATAATCTCCGCTATTTCGAAAAACATGGTCGTGATATCAAAGATCCTTGGTCTTGTAGACAATGTGTCTTTTATCAGATCACTTATTGTAATGATAATACATCAACATGGCTTGTTATTCAGCCGCCAACGAAATGGAAGGAGGGACTAAAAATTGTAGACTTAAACAAGACCGATTATCCTCCTGCTCTCCATCTTCGGGCCATATCATCTGCAGCGGCAACAATGTGGGAGTATCTGGAGGACATTAGCAATGAGCTTACTGAACTGGTTGGTCTATTTTCCTCGCGTTAGAACTATCCCGTTGTGGATTCATTGGATGATGACAAGAGATTCGTACCAGAGCAGAAGGGTGTCCTTCCCAAAGCCTTTGAAAAAGTTTGACTTTGACTTCACCCTGAGTCAGCACCTGCAAATCGTCCGCCAGAAGTTGCATCATGCCAGGATGATATTAGACGGGACGTTGCGGACCATAGCTGCTATAGCTTCCCACGTGGAAGCAACGTGGAAGGTGGCAGGCGACACCCCTACGGCTTTACACAATCTGTTCCTCCGCGAGCTGAGAAATATATCTTACGACCTGCATGCCCATCGGTCCACAGCAACGGAGCTTCTAGACCTTTCTGCAGATATAACTGCTACCGTATGTGTTCTGGGCCCGCAAACTCGTTGCGGAAGCTGATGATGCAATGTGTTCAGATTAAATCGATTCTCGAACTCCGTAACCAGGACTTACTTAACAACAATAGCCGACAGCTGCAAGTAATTACAGAGGCCAACGCCAAAGAGACACAGATGATGGCGGAGGTTGCGCAGTATGCCTACAATGATTCGAGGACAGTGCGTATCGCCACTGTTATCGCCATGATATATCTGCCGGCTAGTTTAGTTATGGTATAATACCGTTCCTATACGCCGAATATTCCGGGAAATCAGGGCTAACGTTGTTGTCTACCTAGTCTTTTTTTAGTACAGTGTTTGTGGACTTCAATAATGTCGCGGATTCTGAGTATCTGAGTGTTCACAAAGAAATATGGGTGGCCGTTGTTTCGATTGCGGTCATGGTTGTTGCAACAGCAAGTTGGTTCTGGATTTGGGAAAGACGTAACGCCAAGGCAACCTTACTCTCTTCACTTCCAAAACTTAAATCTTCAACAAGAGACACCGAATGGCTAGAGATGAGAAATTTGAGCTAGGTTCTGAGGCGTACTAATATTATTATGGCTTTAAGACTCCACCGGGAAAGATGCGAGCGAGAAAAAAAGTTTGGTAGGACAGTTTATGAGCGTGTGGCAGGTGATAGTTACTCATTTACTTGTAAAAAGACAAAGTGCAGTTCAGGGCCGGTAATAAAAAGTCTGGTTTGGCTACCTTACTTAACTATATAAACCTCCGCTTGCTTACCGCCTACTTACTAGAATCGCTTGCTCGAAGTTGCCAAGCGAAAACGCCTCGTAAGGCGACATGCATGAGTGCCTTATTGAGGACCAATCTGTTTCCTCAGCCGTGGTTTAGTTCTACACGTGTCAATTCACAAGCATGCCGATTGATTTTAACCTTTTTGCCGTACCTATCAGCAGGTTGGACCCGGAGAGGAGGAGCTGCGGACAGGGCAGGGCTTGCACGAAGTGGCTCTTAGACACATTCTCACCGAAAATTTAAATTTCTCCTGGCTTTCTACTCCGTCCGAGACATGCCACACAAATGAACGAGTCTCAAGCTAGTGACTGAGCATAATGGACCTCTTCATTACCTCCTATCTACCAACTACCGCCCCGTTCGAAACTAATGCGTCACCCGGAGGAGGCTCACGCTATTCTTGGTTTCCGGACAATGAAAACACCTCCGACATCTCAGTTTCGCACCAGCCAAACTTGGTCAAGTTCGTACAATTCGTCATCGCCCTGGGGATCGAAGTCTTGCCGCCAACATGGAACGACCACGCCGTCGCCCGCGAAGGCTTGCCCGCCAGGGACGGGGGGACGGCCACCGTGAAGCAGAGCCTTGTCGATGCAACATCAGCGCTGTTGTATAAGCGGTTCCGGCGCGATGTTCCATTGGAATATGTGGTGCGGTACGGCGCGGAACTGGCTGAGCAGAGTTTCCGCGAGGTGCAGTTCAATGCCATAATAAATGAAATCACGATCCTCGCACATCCAACTATAGCTGGTGCAGAGGACCGGGTTGTACGCCTCATGGGGGTTTGTTTTGAGGTTTCGTCATCCTCGGGATCAGATATTTGGCCTGTCGCTGTGCTCCTTAAGGCAAATCAGGGCGATTTGGCCGCGTCTGTTTCTTCTCAACCGATATGGAAGTGGGCTAAGGAGGACTCCTTGTTGGTGCTGTGTGGCAAGATTGCGGAGACAATTAACAGAGTGCATCAGTGTGGTAAGTACTTGTATTGTGGCTACACCCCTCCCTCCACCTTTCGATCTTGGCGGTACTTGGGTGACATCCCCAACGCGACTGATAAGCTCATGCTGTAAGCAGGCGTCGTCCACTGTGACATCAACCCTCGCAACATTCTTTTCTGGCTCGACTCAAAGACCGGAGCCGCTGGCCTGATGCTAGCAGACTTTGGTTTCTCTCGGTACGGAGCAAAGGATGATCTCACCAAACTCCCCCGATCGCAGCCGTGGGATGCACCAGAATGGCACGAGCGGGAGTTCACGCTGGAAGCAGCGAGTAAAACCGATGTGTATGCATTTGGTCTTCTTTGCTTTTGGTTGCTCTTCCGACACGACTCACTAGCCGATCTTGGGTTTCCAGATGTGACCGTTCAAGACGCTTTCACGTGTTCTAGCTCTGATGTGATCGCTGTCATCCAAGCTAAAAAGAAGAGCACGTCGGAAGCTATCCTCGAGTGGGCGCTCAGTTTGCTAGCAGCCAAGAAGGGACTTGACGATAAGATACTATCTCGGATACAAAAGCTCCTCACCCTCACTCTAGTGCAGGATCCTGCTAAACGGGCCGGTATGGCCTCATTGACTGAAGTCTGGCCTGCTGAGCTACTAGAGGTATTGCCGGAAGAGGACCATGAAAGGAAAGAGACTCATAGCGAAACGGGTCTTACACAGAATGAGCGTGATTTGTCAACTTCCGAGCCAGATTTTGTAGCAACAAACCAAGTCATGGAGCCAGAATGGCACGGAATACTAGAGGCAAGTAGCAGATACCCACGTTTAATATTTTATGATCAGCCGCTGAGTCTTGACTAGACGCCGACGCTCATCTTTGTCATTGATGGCTCTGATTATCGGGTCCAAGATTTTCTTGCGAGACTATTACGCCAAATCGCAAAGAACACAACCTGCGAACTCTGCAAAACAGGGGCCTCATTCCAACTATTGTTATTTCACCGGCTCGGATTCGGACCCGAATCCACAGACCAAGAAGCCAAAGAATGGCTTGACACCGCCGGCATCACAGCGACCGTACTCAATAGCATTATCGAGGACCTAAAAGTCGCGAAGATGAAGAATTCTTCTGTCATCGAGCTCAGCCAGCTGGGGTATCGTACAAACGTGGCGGCGCAGTATCACCGCGACGGCGTCCAGGAAGAAGCGAAATCGTACTACCGCCGTGTAAGTGCTTTGCGTGAGTTGGCGCTAGGACAAGGTCACTATTCGACGTTGAACAACCGCCACGCACTTGCCGACGTGCTAATGGCCGGGAAGGAGTATGAGGACGCCTGGGAGGTTGCACTTCAGATGACCAAGCTGGAGTCACTGCCTTTACCGCTAAAAACGGCCGTCAACTCTCTCCAAGCGCAGCTGTGGATGGAACTCGACGATCGGGAGCAGGCCGAGTCCACGCTTCGCGGTCTATTAGACCACTGGGATAAGCCAGCCGAGGTGGGGGACTCCGAGAGACTCGACCGCCAGCTTGACTTGATCCGTGTTCTCAGGGGAGAGGGGCGAGGTGCAGAAGCACTCCGGCTCTCACTGAAGACCCTCGATGAGTGTCTCGCAGAACTTGGCCCGGCACATACGACGACCATCCGTGCGACACGGTCGCTCGCTCTGGCGTACGACGCCGAAGGACAATATGGCAAGGCTATGGAGACCGGTGAACAGTTGATCAAACTAAAATATAGCAGTGAACTTGAGCTGGAGCAGAGCATTGACGAAGCCGAATTCCTGGTGCAGGACCTCGCCAACCTTGGAGTTCAATACTACATCCTAGGACGTCACCAAGAGGCATTATCCTGCTACGAGCGTGTAAGGAAGCTCATCAACGGTATCCATAGCTCAGATAAGTTAGCTGTTGCCGCCGTCGATGCCGTCAATAATTGCGCTGTCCGGTTGATCGGACGTGACGACATGGGAAGGGCTGGTACAATTCTTGAAGCACTCCTCTCTGAGGCATCGAAGGTCCTCGACGAACAAAAAAGTAAAGAGATTGCTACTGTGATGGGCAACCTTGCGTACGTCTATAGCGCGCGGGGGGAGTACGAGAAAGAAGCAACACTTGAACGTAGGACAGTCGACATCAGGATCGTGCAGCTCGGTGCTGATCACCATCACACCGTGACGGCCATGGGGAATCTCAGAATGACCCTTCTTTCTCAAGGCAAGAAGCGTGAGGCTTTAGACATGGCACGTCAGGAGTTCGAGGCTATACGCAGTTGGCCGAGCGAGGCGCGGATGGCAGGTAAAGATCTCGTGGTACGCTCTTTCGAAAGGTCGGAAGGCTTTTCAGAAGCTATTTATCTACTTGAACCTGAGATAATAGTGCGACAAAACGAGGATATTGATATCGCAATGACTTCGCGTATGTTGCTAGCGAGTATCTGCTATTTGCAGATCAGCGATCTGCCGAGTACGAGGAAAATGATGGCTTGGTTTCTTCCCAGGCTGCAAGACGCGGCAGTTGGCGAGGATGATTGCAACACCTTGGTTGACGATCTAAGTCGACTAGCCACCCTCTGGTTAGAACGAGGCTATACTGTGGAGGGTGAACAGGTCTTAAAAGGATTAGCTGCGCTGAATAGACAAATAGCAAGCGAGGGCGAGGATCTGCGGACACAGTTAGAAGGCACCAAGCTAGCTTAAAAAGACGAAGAATTGGGGCACTCTAGGACCACAAAGCTGAAATTAACATGGTCCACGTCATCCAAAGAGCATCCATACTTAATCTCTTAGCCTTAGTTGAGAATCCGCGCTAGTGGGATAGAGGAGCCTCAGTATCTTAACGTTAGTGCCGATAATCTCGCCTAACGCAACTCGAGCAGAGCATTCGAACCACGCTCGAAGAATGAGGTTTGTAAACTACTATATTGACAATGTCTGTAAAAAGCTGCACTATATTCGGACCAGGGCAAGAAGCTGACACAGAACCTCACAATTTACTTACTTTCAAGTGTATATATAATCTAATTAATCCGAACTCCCAAAGCTTTTCCGAGTCTTCTTTCTGGTAGGAGTCCAGTCTCTGTCTCCTCGCGCTTTCTTTTGAAACTTCCCAGTATAGAAATAAGCTCGAAGAACTGAATGAACACTGTGGCAAAATAAGGTTTCTCTTTCAGTCCTCAAAACTAGCTATCGTGCTAATTCTGGGAGTTCTAAGCCTTATTTAGGGCAAGTATACTTGCCCTCTTTTTATATTAATGCTATATATATTACTTATAATACTACTTATATATATTATTTATATAAATATATAAGTTAATTACATAAATATATAAGTTAATTATTAGAGTTTTGAGTTTTATTTAATTATATTATAATAATAATAATAATAATACTTAAGTTTTATAATTATATTTTATGTTATTTAATATGTTTTTTGCTTATAATTATTTTAAACTTAATTTAAAAGTATTTTTATAATAAGTATTAAAAATATTACAAATATAATTTTATTTTTTTATATAATAATATAATAATAAATACAAAATTTAATAATTTATTTAAAAAAAGGTTTTATAAATAATTATAAATATATAATTTAAAAATTTAGAAATTAGATTTATTTTTAATTATATAATATTTATAAAACATTTAATTTATAATACTTATAAAAAATAATAAAAAATATATATGAAAATCTAATTTATAAAGAACTATAAGTTTAATTATTTATATTATTAATCTTTATTTATATATAAAGTTATAATTATTATAAGTTATTTAGACTAATAAATAAGTAAATAGATTAAAAGATATAATATTAAGATTAGAAGCCTTATTAGCTATTTTACTATATGAGAACACAGTATTCGTCACGTGACTAGCCGCACACGTGATATATAACTATAATAATAATTATATATAAAGTTATAATTATATATAAAGCATATATATAATAATTAAGGCTGAAAGATTTTTATTTCTTGTTTTATAAAATATGAAAGGTCCGCAACGCATTCCTTTTCAAGTTCATATTCGTATTGTTCCACTTGAAACGGGAGGAATGCTCTACTAATCTAGATTGCAAAGATAACTCTCTCCGGCAAAGTTGTCAGAAAACTATTAGTTTGTAGGTTTTGTCACATCTGCCAACGTCAATAACGAGGGTCACAATATTCTAAGCCATGTGGTTGTTTTGATGATTTTCATTCACATCTCGTTATTTATTTCGCAGCACACCTCATACCTTACTTACCTTATTTCATGCTCTCCAAATCGTCCTCTCTCTCAACATTTCCTTACTTCCAGATGTAACTGCCAGCAAGCGGGGTTGCATTAGGACCAGGATCAAGCGTCTTGGTGTGAGGGTGAGGAGTTCCATGCCGACGCGTAGGAGTGGCTGTAGCGCTGTGATGCGAATGCGTGTGAACTACGGCAGCTTCTGTCAGTGGTTGAAGGTGGTCGTCGTCTCTCTCTTCATTTCCACGCCTCCAAATGTAACTTCCAGCCAAGGGAGTTGCATTTGGACCAGGATCAATTGTCTTCGTGTGAGGGTGGGGCGTTCCATGCGGACGCTTGTGCGTGACCGTAGGGCTTCCGTGAATAGGAACCACCGCTGCTACTTCCGTAGGTATTGGAAGATGGGGTTCAGTGCACTGGCAGTTGAGGTCAGTGCAATCGCCATTCTTCCATGTAACTGGAGCTGGCATGACGATGTGGCCAGATGGGGAACAAAGCGTCCACCATGCCTGGCTGCACTCGGCGGCTGATGTGCCGTTGCATTGAAGTTGCGTGGTTCCGGCGGCCAGCTGGCGGGGAAACTTGAGGGCGGCGGCGTTGGTGATGGCAAGGACGGTGCTTGCTGCAGCGAGATAGGCGAACTTCATGTTTGCGGTTGAGACCTATGTGAAGTAGACTCTGGATTGTTGGTTGTGTATGGGGCTACAGTGATGCAGTTGAGTTGTGAAGTGGTGCGTTTGGTATTTGCGGTTGTGCAGTTGAATATGTTGTCCAGAGAGAACCTGCAGGTCTTCTACTTATAGATTTTTCTGGGAATCTATGTTGTTCCAAATTCTCTAAATTTCAAGATGTAGTGGATTGTTCTGGATGTTTATGAGGTAAATTTCTTTGATCTAAGCGAGAGCCTTTGAATCCAAACAATCCTCTTTGTTCACAACTTCACATCTGTTCCAACAAACAGAGACTTGCAATAGCTATGGCAACAATTTGATACACTGTTTACTGGTATTCCGAACAAAGACTTTGATCAGAACCCTTGGTACTTGTTTGTCGTTAGTCGAGCAATAGTCGCAAAATCGAAAAGCAAGAGGGGCACGTGAGATCGCTAAGCGAACAATTCAGGGGCTTCAGACAAATACAAGTCTTCAATACAAATCACCGCTTTTAGCTCATGCAACCATCCACGGTCGAATCTTACCTTAAAATGAGTTGCTGACTCTCGAAAACGTCGATTTCATTACATATGAATCCGAAACAACGGCACTTTCACGTAATTACGCGAAGCACTCAATGTATCAAAGCGCGAGGGCGTTTCAGTCATAATCGCCGATTTCCCTAATTTGCATCATCTCCCGCACTTTCTCCTTTCACGCCAATTGATTTTTCTTCTAGATTCTGATTGGCTACGGCATTTTTTGCTGTCGCATGGCAATTGTGATACTACAGAAAGCCAGGATCGAACTGATGTTATTGCCGAGGCGGCGAGGCGCGTTGATCTTAATCCTGCCAAGATAGTTGTGCTAATAAATATCCGCAGTATGAATATGTGATTCCTTCCCCAAATGGTGCAGAACGATTTGAAGAGACACCCGCTCATACCCAACGGCCTGCATCCATGATGCCCAAAGCAGAACCGCCAGACGACGCCGTAATGCAAGAAGTCCCGGGTCTAGTCCTCTACCTCCGACAATGTAGAACTGTCCCCAGACCCCACCACCTCGGGGGATGAGAATATGTTCCTCGGAGAACGACTATGCAGACGAGGGAGGATAAGCAGGCGTGGATATGGATGCTGTTAATACCGACCTCCAGCATCTAAAATCGCTGCAAAGATCTTGGTGGTTCCGTGGTTCTCGCATTCCCGCCTAATATCGAATATTAATATTTTTCACTCGAGACAGCCAAAAGAGCAAAGATTCGGTCGCTACCATCGAATCGGTGTGCACTTTTCGTAATTTTAAAGACTGATTTTAGGAGCTAGGAACTAAGCTCCTAAGAAGGCAGATGGGCATGCCGACTCCTGAAACAGCTCTCATATGAAAAGATTGCACATTAGTATGAGAATAGGCCCTACCGAGGATCTCAGTATTAGAGTGTTTGATGCATAGCCATGTTTTGAAAAGATCCCCAACCAACTTGTGCCCTTTCCATATTGTTCAACGTTTGCAGTGTATGCCACAGCAAGTAGACAGAGTCCTCAATTCGCAGGACCTGAAGGAATGGACTTTGAAGATGGTCTTGCCAGAAATGATCTATGTATAGTTTGGGGAGCAATTATACAGCAAACAGCAAGGGCCTGCTGGCAACGGCATCCCAAGACATAGCGAGAAGCCGTGAAGCATCGCCAAATCTTGCTTGAGTAACTGTTCCTGAACAATCCAGAGCCGTCGGACCCGCTTGCCGTATGCTACTTGCAGTAGCCACCTCCAACCCTGCACACCATTTTTTTCCTTGCCAAAATCAGCCTCGCCCAAGGTGACCGGATCGGCTCCTAGGGGACCCAAACAGGATCCCCCTCCCTTCCCTAAACTATAGCATTTAACCTCTCAAGGCTGATTTTCTCGCAATATAGCCTGACATAGAACTCAATTTGTACAGTCATTTGAGATTCGTAAACTATTTCTACAATTGCCATCGATTATTATCACCGTTAGCAATACGACGTTTCCGTTCAAAGTGATAGTCGTATCAAAGACCGTAAAGGAGCAAAGTACGAGAATGAATGGAGCGAGACTTCCTTAATGGCCAACGAAGCTAGCAGGTAGTGACTAATATACAACTAACCTGACACCGTACAATGTTTCGGATTGTAGATTGTAAGTCCTCAGGGTGTGTTAAAACAAAACCTTCGTCCGAGAAACAACTTCACCAAATTCTCACGTCTGGCTACAACACTTCGGCGCTATTCTTATAAATATATATGTAAATCATAAACATTGCTCAGCACCCGTCTCAGATCTTAATTCAGGTGTCCGACATAGAATAGAAATTGGAAATTGTATTATCTTAGTACTCCGGTTTCCCTAACCAGGTTAGCGACCCTCTGCTTCGGGCAAGTTGCGTCCACGGGGCCAGCCGCCACTTTCAACGTCTCTCCCGAACCTCGCAATCTTACCTGTAGTATCCAAGGGCCTCGGACCTGCTATCTCTAGAGATCAACCGTACTTGCGAACACGTCTGTGTTTGGATATTCCTTCCAAGCGGACCCTATCCTCTGGTTTATCAAGTTCGATTATTCCGACCCGTTCAATCATATCTTTCTCGAGCTCATCTACCACAACTAGAATCGCATGAGGAGATTCGTTACTCAGGACCTTTCTTTTGGTCGCGGCATGAATCCGGGTCTTCAGGCGATCTCCAAGGACAAACACACTCCAAGGGGAGTTCAGTATCCTTGTATAAAACTCATCCCCCGCGGAAGTATGCTTGGTGAGATGGCAAGGTGCATAAAGTGGCTCTCCAATCGCAGTTTCGAATACTGCTTCCCATTTAGACTCTGTGTCTTCTCCTCTACCAGGAATTCGTCTCGCTAAATGAAGCCTCACTTGGAAGAAATCAGCTTCGATGTAAATATACGGGTCCGGATTCTTTGGGAAGACATCGATATCCATAGCGGTTGTGTCACAAAATGTTTTCAGATCCATTTGCGATGTGAATATCGAATCAATCCATATTTTGACTCCGTATCTATTCTTAATGTAACCATATTCCTCGGAATGCGGTTTCATGGTCCCATACCAACCGGCCCAAGACCAACTCGGGAACCCTGAGCGGCGTTTCCAGGATCCAGATGGATACCAGCAGAGGCCGGTGAGGAACTGTTCTGTGCGAGTTGATTTTCGGGGACTTGGTTCATGAACAGAATTATAAGTGATATCCGGGACCATGGGGATCCCCAGATAATGTCGGAAAGAATCGTAAATACTCTCAAAAGCATGGAATGTTCCCATAATTCCATTCAAGATGTCTTCTGGTTGAGTCAAGTTGCGTCGGGTGTATAATGCAATATGGTCGAATACTGCATTGAACGGATCTTTGGTCTGTCTGACCCGTGAGAATAGGCCGGGTCTGTTCCATTTAGAGAACGTTCGGAGCTCCTTGGTATGGAGAAGTTCTAAAGGCGCACTCATAGTGTCGTGGCAGCGCATCCCGGAACATTCAAAATAGATTTGTTGTTTACAGAAGAATATGCGTCTCCGAGACAGAATCGTTTCTTGGTGCGTCCATCCTCTACTATTCCACACTGAGCCGTAGACTTCTGCAGATGGGTGAGGCGGCACATAAGCGTGCAGCTCATTGCCGATGTAGATCGTAACGGGGGTTGCTCTTTCCCGACTTCCTATGCCAGGAAGGCCGTGGCTAGGATCGGGGCTTGAGATGGCAATGATGGTAGACTGTGCCTTGCTGTAAACTAAATCCATCTGCTGGATCTGTGAGTGTCGTTCTTTGCCATCCTCTTGAGGTATACAGTATCTGTCGATCCATATGTAACGGTATCCTATCCTCTTGGTGGCTGAGAGTGCATCTCGAATCAAGATTGGGCTGTTCACTGAAAACAGGTTCTCGCCGTTCTCAAGTTCCTTTGATGGAACGGTGCCCCATACATAGCTCATTGCTAGATACTTACAGCCCGGCTCTGCTGGAACGATCAAACCCGTGGTACAATCTACCACGCGGAGATTCGGTATCGGTCTTATGTCGATTGGTTCACAGGTCTCCCCATGATTCTTGAGGCAGAAGTCGAGCCATCTCTTAACACTGTCCATATCAGTCTTGGACTTCAGGGCCGTAGCGGCAAATCTCGTTTCCTCGCGGGTCCTTCGGGCAGGGCTCAGCCAGCCGCTGCGTTCTATAGATGTCCTTGAAGGCCAGAGGGCATGAGACATCTTTCTCTCCTTCGTAAATGAATCGTCTCTATCATGGAAAACATGCTCATCGATAATAGCAAATGACACCGACTTCTGAAGTCCACGAATGGTGCGAGAATTCCTCCAATTATGACTATACATCGCAGATGTATGAAAGGAGCACAAATAGAATATGATATCGTCCACGGTCTTGCTGTCGCTCGTATTTGGTGCATAGGCCAAACTTGCCATTGAGGCAAACAATTGGCACAGGAGACAATCTGGATCCACCGTAAATTGAGAGAGGGTCCCAAGTCTCAAGGCAGTCTTCTTCCAAATGCCTGGTCCAGGTTGGATTTTGTTGAAATCAATCGATGAGCACGATTCACATAAGCGTTGGCCTTGAGATGCTGATGGATATCCATTTTTTGTAGGCTTCGAGGTATCTCGATCCCCGATTCTTGAGCTGGCTGTCCATGGCGAAGTTGGGCCATCCCCGTCATTCGCACATATTCTTTGATTCTCTTCATCTGCCTCACTCTTCCCGAAAGGTCCACTTGTTTGAAGTGCTTCGTCAAAACGACTGGGCTGACTTATGGGATTGCTTTCATGGCTTGGTACCGACTCAATCTTTCTCTTTTGGGGGACATGGACGGTTCCCATGACGGAAGAGATGGAATGTAGACAGTCTCATCAAACGCTTCCCGCATGAACAGACTGCCCGATACAGCCTTGATACTAAGAGTTCAGCCTACTAGACACTCTTATAGGTTCTAATCATTAGTGTTGCTAATGTTAGAGCAAGTAAAGTCGACAAGTAAGAGAGGCGGTGATGGCGATGTAAGGATTCAGGATGGATGAGGTTGGATGAGGTCCTACAGCACAAGTGTAATTTTAAATCACGCTTTTGTACGTAATCAATGCACGTGAGATCACGTAAGCTCACTTGAGCCCAATTAAATACCGCAGAGGTGCGCTAACTTTACGCGAGCGCAGCAACCCTTCCGTAGCGGATGCCCTCTCTTGTGCTCAAGCATCACATTCGCTACCCATACCCCTGTAGGTGAGAAAGCTAGTGAGTAGCAGGACATCACCCCACGTCATCTCCCTTTAGAAATTCAAGCGTATCGGGAGTTGAAATGTCTCCACGGCCTATTTCCGATAATGAAGTCTTGCAGTAAGACCCGTGGTTATTTTGAACGGTGAAGTCCCAAGGCGCACTCAACTTGATTCGCCATGTGTGGCATCAATTACCCCACAGCTCACCCAAAGTACCAATACTCGTTGGCATACTTCAAAGGAAAGGCACCGTACGCCATCGTTTGGGCTCTTGCATGCGACGATTTGCAGTTGTATCGCCTGTCTGTTGACTCTGTTCATTCTCTTCAGCGTTCGTAAACTTGCCAGACCGCAGCTTTACGGGCGACATCAGAGCACCTGCTTGGTGCTTTCAAGGTGAGCTTCACCAAAAGAACCGAGGCAGCATGAGCAATTTGCGATCGAGACTTGCAGACAGTTAGACGAGGTGAGATCAAGTTGATGAAATGCGGTAATATGAACAGGAAGAGAAGGTAAACGCCGGAGAGCCTGCTGAGGACGTCGAAACGGCTCCTGCGGCGATTATCCAGGCTTTTCTCCATCCAAAAATAGGAAGTCAGCTCCGACCTCACATCCACTCCTGCCCCATCAACTCAATGCACAACACGATATCAAATCCTCTTATCTCTCCCATCCACATCTCTCTGTATTCGCGCACAAAATATGAAACAATCTCACTCTCTCCCACCTGTTCCAAAAGGCAGCCTCACGCACTTTTCCACCAGTCGGCAGAACCGCTCTTCGTTGTTGAGCAAGCCCTGCACCCCAGGCCTCAGCACACGACACCCGTGAAGCTTAGAACACGCATCCAATAATACCACGTCCCCTTGCACAGTTGGAGGGCGATGCTGATGGAGGATTTGTGCTAATTGATGGGAGTGGAAGAGGCGGAGCGATAAGGTGGTGGGGTACTTGAATGGGGAAGCTCCTCTTGTGATCTGTCTGCCAGCTTTCGTTCGTGTCCTTCGTCTGGAGTTTGCGATTCAATTCATTTCATCTGTATTTGTGCAATCATTTTTCTTTTTATCGATCGTGAAAAAATGGCCGGTCAGTGAGCGTCGCTGGGAATATTGAGAGAATTTTCGATGGTGGGGGTTGAGATTGCGCAACACCTGTACATCGCTATTGAAAAGTAATCGATTTATTAATGGAAAATCGATATATTGGAGGTTGACAGACTGCAGAATGACTAGATATAGCAGAGTGAGTTCTAGAAACAGAGGAAAAGTGTCCAAAGTAAGGGATTTATTCCCATTACCCTTCGGCAATACCGGTAATGCCGAGCCCGCTTTCTCCGATACATTATTAATCAGCTAATAAATCAAAGGTAATCAAAATGACAATATACTAGTGAGCTTGGTAAGCTCGGCGAATGACGCATGACAAATGAGAGTGGAGAACCCTAAATTAGTGGTTGAACCTGGTGCTGGAAGGACTGGTAAGCTAGCTATGGTAGCGTACCAATTTCAACAATCGCATCCCGCCCCATTTATCCTTTGAGTCGACCTTAACCTGGCAGGTCGCGAGCAGTGGCTTGATGACAGCCTCGTGCCCGTTATAAGCAGCCCACGAGAGTAGCCTCTGCCTGTATTGATTATCCTTCAAGTTAGCCTTAACTTCGCCGGTCGCTAGCAATAGCTTGACAACGGCCTCGTGCCCGTTTTCAATAGCACAAAAGAGCAGCGTCTCGCCCCACTTATTCTTTGAGTCAGCCTTAGCTTGGCCGGTCTCGAGTAGCAACTTTACAATAGCTTCGTGTCCGTTACAGGCAGCCTCCGAGAGCGGGGTCCCGCCCCAGCTATCCTTCGAGTCGGCCTCGACCTGGCCAGTCGCAAGCAGTAGCTTGACAATAGCCTCGTGCCCGTTCTCGGCAGCCCGCGAGAGCGGGGTCCCGCCCCAGCTATCCTTCGAGTCGGCCTCGACCTGGCCAGTCGCAAGCAGTAGCTTGATAGCTTCGTGTCCGTTACAGGCAGCCTCCGAGAGCGGGGTCCCGCCCCAGCTATCCTTCGAGTCGGCCTCGACCTGGCCAGTCGCGAGCAGTAGCTTGATAATAGCCTCGTGCCCGTTACAAGCAGCCCTCGAGAGCGGCGTCTGTCCGTGCCGATCCTTTGAGCTAGCCTCGACATGGCCAGTTGCGAGTAATAGCTTGACAATAGCCTCGTGCCCGTTACAAGCAGCCCGCGAGAGCGGCGTCTTGCCCCGGCTATCATTCAAGTCCGGATCAATACCGTCTTCTACAAGTAGTAGCTTTACTAATACATCGTACCCGTTCTCTGCAGCCCATAATAATGGTGTTAGACCTCGTTGATTTTGTAATGTAGACTGTTTTCCTTTAAAAATCGTTTCGTAGCCCTTAATCGCTTCTTGAATCCTCCATTTTGCCTTTTCATACTCATCCAAATCTTCCAATATTAGTGCAACGTTCCATGTTCTTGTCACTTGGTCGAAAGACAACCAATTTTTTGATTCTTCTTGATCTTGCGACTCTTCTAGGAGCTGCTCCCAGTCCCAGACGAGCAGGAAGTGACGCGGGAAGCGTGTTATCGATTTAGAAAGCGCTCGCTGTCTGGAACTTCCGCTCTCGTTTAGAGGAGTAACTGCAATTATAATAATTGCAAAGAAATCCTTGTGTAGCCTAATAATCGTAGGCTTTGAAGCTCCTTGTAGAAGGCAAACGGTGTCCCGCTCTTGGATAGATTTTGCCGATGCTCCAAGAGTCCATTGTATCTCGTTGTCAAAGCACCAAGCTCGGTTTTTGGATGTGAATGTGATTTTCAAATTCTGTCCGTTATCGCTTTCTATCGAGGACACCTGGCCAAGAATGCAGCCCTTACTCTTAATCATTGGCCTCTGGCTAGAAGTCTCCACGAATATATCTTTACTAAGAATGTACTTGACAAGTTTTTCAAATAATTTTTCCCAGGAAATCGTGTAATCGGGCTGTAAAGCAGCTTTACCAGGATCGTTGAGGCTCATACCAAGCAAAGCATAGACCTTATCGCGAGGATCCGAAGCATGACGAGTATGGAACATGTCTATTAACTCGGCCAAAGGTCGTATTTCTAGAGAGAATCTCTCTGGCGAATTTGCCGTATACTTAGATCGGAGGCCAGCGTACTCTATTAAATAGGTAACTGAAGGGAGAGTCTGCAATTCTGGAGAAGCCATATAGGAGAGCTGTAGGGACTTTACTCCTGAGCAGAATGCGTATCCATCAATCTCTGTAGAGCCACACATTATTACGACATGTCGAGCTGCGGCAACCTCTTGAAGCACCTAAAACAATTATATTAACGTCGTCTAGTAATTATCGCAAGGCATTTATTCCCTTACCCAGATGCGTCGGAACCACGGCCGTTGGAGTAAATTGAGAATTGCTTGCTTATTTATTTCCTTCTTCGAGTGCCCCAGAAGTTCTTTATTAGCAGCAAGCCGTATATCTTCGAGGGCTCCTTTTATCTCTATTGCTTCCTCTCCGAGCCAAACAATAACACGATGTGCGTTGCTATAGATCTTTGCCATAAGCTGGACCTGATAACCCTGCTCTTGTGGGTTTTTTTGGTTAATGCAAATAGCATCAATCCATATGATTCGTTCGAAAGAGTGATCTCGAAGACGTAATAACGCAGCATGGAGGTTGACTGTGACAGGAAACTGATTATTGTCTACCAAGATAGGTAAAGTCTCGCGCGCATCGCCCCAGGCGTAGGATAAAGCCTCGTATAAATGAGTTCGTGGGCCTAACTTCTGTAGAGAATATTTGCGAAGCTCGCACTGTACGGGCGCAGCCTCGTCTTCATTGGGCAATAGTCGGAGCAGGCGGATATTGTCGCCGTCTGGGGGAAGGATGCAATATGGGTGGGAAGACATAGTACAAGATGTCGCTGACGCGCCAAATGCCGAACCAGTGTCCGTTGGAATGTTCTGATGAATGACCAAGAAGGAGGTGAGAGCGACCGACGGTCCCAAAGGCATGGTGATGGCGGGAACGTCCTTGCCACGTGTCTATGCCGGACAATGATTAAGGCTAAGCCACAACTGCAGCCTGATCACGAGTGACCCGAGCAACCAAAAGGTGTTACGGTTTCGGTTTCGACGCAGCCTACCGGGGCCGAAGCCGAAGACATCGACTCGCGACTCCCTCTCTTTCTTTTCAGTCAACAAGCCGAGCATGGAGAACACACTCAACTGACCTCTTCTTCGCCGCAGAGGCTTAAATATTAAATTTAGCTTCACCTCTTCTCCTTCACGAGGTACCCAGATCGTCCGAGGACTCGAGTGAAGTTCTCGATGTGGTCCACCATTTTGCGATCACGGTCTACGGCTTCCCCGCTCCGGGCAGACATCCATCCATCAAACCTCGCATCAATGTGTCGATGAAGTGGCATGAGGAGCAAGTGCTCAAACCTCCAGGCAACAGCAACGCGTATTGATAATATTGTGAATTCTTTGATTCCCTGCCAAAGAGCTTCTCAAGCGAAAAGCTAGAAGCTCTGGCGTTGCCATCGTCATCGCAAGCTCGGATTAACGTTCTGCCACAGCATCACCATCATCCTGTAGTTGTACTTCGTGTTTGTTTATATTCCCCACCTTCTCTCCTGTCACAACGCCATTGAACTCCTTGCCAACCTCGAACGAACCAATATTCAGTAATCTTCCGTCAACTAAACGCAAAATGTACATCCTATCCACGCAAGAAATCCTCACAGCCGGCCTCGTCGCCACTGGCTGCATGAGCCCCATGACTTCAATGAAGCGTGTATCTCCTTCCTTCCTCTCAATTCCGCCAATCTCATCAATGTATCCTAATAGACGGTTGGATATAGCATCCGAAGTCACCTCCGGTTTGATTATGGACTTCGCAGTCGAGAACGGGTTTCGGGGAAATGACTACGGGACAACGGGATAACAGGACAAAATTGGAGACTAAATTTCAACGGTGCAAATACAAGAACATTTTCCATCTCCCGTTTCTCTTTCCCTTTCCCTCATCCTCAAACCACACTCCCTACCTTCTTCCCCCAATTCCCTATCGTCGCAAACTCCTCTGCAACTCTCAAAATCTCCCTCGCCATCTCCTCCACCTCACTCTTCCTCAACTGCGCATCGTCCCAAGTAGGATTAACCATCGTCGTCGTCTGATCCACCATCACGAAATTCCACAACAACCCACAATCCGCCCTACTTTCAATCTGCACCTTCCTCAACCCCTTCAACTCCCAGCTTGGAGGAACAGGCAACCAATTGAAAATCTGCCTCTTAAGCGCATCCGTCAGAAACGCTCCTTCTCCCTCCTTTTCCCTCTCCATCGCCGCAATCAAGTGATGCTGCGGCGCATACGCATGTTTATTCAAATTCAGCTGCTCCGCCTGCAGCCTGCTCAACATCGAGAGTACGGTTTCTTCAGAGTTGACAGGGATACGGTTTATTGTTCTTTGCACGGCAGGACCATCGACGTCCATAGCTGGCGGCATTCTCTCCACCTGCCATGGAAGCAAGAACGGCCACGTCCTACCCGCCTGCATTTGTCCGAACAATGCGTATTCCTGCTTCGTGTACTTCGTTGTCACAACAGCTAAGGCGGCTTTCACAATTTGAGACCCTTCGACTCCGTGCTGGATCTTAAGGGCTTGGATATCGGGGAGCTTGCCTTGGATGAAGAGACCTTTTGCTCCGGTGGGGTTGGCGTCGAGAGACTTTCTCGGTTGGCCTGGTTTCCCGGTTTTGGAGTCGATCCAGCCGATACTGGAGCCCTTGAACCATTCTGGTGCTCGTTGGATGGGGAACAGCGTTGCGGGATTTAAGGAGATGCCCCGGAGGCGCTGGGCTTGCCAGGCTACATGTGTGTGAGCGATGACGGAATCTTGACCGTTGTAGTAGTTGTCTGCCCATGCTTTATAGGGGACGTGTGGTTTCAGCACAGCTGCGGGGGAAACGAGAAGAGTGTTCAAGTCTTCGATGAATAAGGGGAGGGAGACGCCGTCGAAGACAGAGTGTTGCGCCATGTAGACGAGCCCGGCACAATTCTCGTCTTTGATGTGCGTGATTACGAAGCGGAAGAGAGGGCCAGGGAAGGCGGCGTAGTCGAGCTTGGGGTCGTTGTAGACGAGGGTGTTGAGATCTTCGGCGGTCTCGACGGGGTCGACGAACGTAATGCAGTGCGAGAACCACTTTGCCGAGGGTCGAATCGTCAAGTGCATGGAAGTCGTATTGTCAAAGTAGAGGCCCATTGTTCGGAGCATGCTGTGGTGAGTGACTGCTGCCTCAATTGCTTCCTTCAACCCTGACATGTTAGAACCAGGACAAGCCCATGCGTGACGATGATTGTTGGTTTGCGGACGCTTGTATTCCATGAACATTTCTTGGATGATGTTCATAGGGATCGTGTCTTCGACATCTTTCCAGCTGAGACCGATGGGTGAGAGAGTTTTGTTGGCCAATTCCTCGGTTCGCTTTGCTCTGGCCGGATCACCGCGGGCATGGGCCATGTCGTCGACAGTGGGAGGACCGTCCCGCTTCGGCTTGAGTTCAGAGATGCTTCCTGCTGAGGATCCACGGCCCGACAAGAGCTTTGCTTGTGCGGCAAGTGTCCCGTGCTCCATGAGCTCGGATAAGGTGATCTGGTGTCCAGCTTCACGATGCAGCACTGCGGAGAATCGAGCCAGAATCAATGAGTCTGCCCAATCATGAACCGAACTCTCAGCGGTCAGTGTGTTAGGACGAAGACCCAAAAGCTTCGTCCACAACCTCAACAGCATATCCAGCATACTTTCACCAGCAGCAATCGTGCTTTGGCTTTCTCGTTGCTTCATGAAAATTTCTCTCAGCTTGTTCTTCTGAACTTTGCCAGTCGTGGTTCTCGGGTAGTCGTCAACACCCAAACTTTCCACATCAATAATCTCTTCCGGCACCCAAGCAGCACCCAACTCTTTCACAAGCAGCTCCCTAACTTTAAACGGATCAACCTCTTGCCCCTCCCTCTTTTTTACAATAGCAATCGGAATCTCCCCCGCGATCTCATCTTGCAAAGCAACAATCTCAGCCATCAAATCGAAGCGGCTCAACAATAGCGATTCAATCGCACTAGGAGAAATATTCTCCCCGCCACGAATAATCATATCCTTGTACCGGCCCACGATCTTGATCTCGCCATTCTCATCCATAACAGCCTGATCACCAGTCCTAATCCAACGTCCTTCATGATCATCATAAAACGCATCTGTGCTCCTCTTAGTAGCACCAAGCCAGTACTCCTTGATAATCTGAGGCCCTCCAGCGTGAAGTTCTCCTGCTACTCCCCGGGGAATTACCTCACCATTGCTATCAGGAACACAAACTCTGACCTTTGCCTCCGGAATCGCAACCCCAGCCGTGACTCTCTCAGGGATGGTGCTAGTCAGCTGCCCATACGGATGCATCACACACGACCCCATCTCCGTCATCCCGTACCCCTCACTCGCTCTCTCCGCTCCGAGCCCCTTCATCGCAATCCTCAGTGTCTCTGGCAAGATCGTCGCCGCACCAAGAATAACGTTCTTCACACATGTTGTATCCACACCCTTCAAGCTCTCGTGAGCAATCATCGCATGGGCTATCGCCGGGACACCGGGGATGTCTGAACAGCGCTCTAGTTTGATAGCTTCAATACTCGATTGAGCAGAGAAAGCAGCAGCGGGATGAACGACCTTGAGACCAGCAGCATGGCACGTCAGGCTGGAGTTCGCGCCCATGATATGGAATGGTATTGAATGGTTGAGACTATTTCTCGTGTCGTCCTTCTCTAACTCGATCATAAGGCTTATAGCCCTGATTTGTGAAACATAACCTCGGTTGGTGATAGGGCACCCTTTTGGCAGGTTCGTTGTACCGGAAGTCATGAGCACGACAACAACGTCTCCGTCTTTCCTCTTGATGTTCATCTTCTCCACAAGATCAGAAGGCAAAGGCTTCGCCCGGTCCATGAAGGAGCTCAAGTCTTCCCAGCTCGGGGGCGTGGTCATCTCCTTTTCAAGAGGAGAGAACAGCTTCACGCGCACATTGGCGATGCTTTCCAGCTTCTTTGCAACAGCCGGGTCTTGCACCAAAACAACAGATGGATACAGCATCTCCATCAAATGCCTCGCTTCCGCAGCATTACTCGCCGTCTTGGGATTCAACGGAGCAAAAGCACATCCCAACTCCAAACTTGCTCTGAAGAAAACATGCCATTCAGCACCATTGGTAACAAAAGCCACAATCCTGTTTCCAGGTTTGATTCCCGAAGCGGCGAGAGAACGGGCTAGAGTGTGTGAGGCGGTGGCCAGTTGCGAGAATGTCCAGCGGAGGTATTGTTGTTTTGGGGGTAGAGCGGAGGGCGGTGTTTGTGGGTGGGATGGGGAAGTGGTGTGGGTGGAGAGGAAGGTCGACGGTTGGTGCATGCAGACGAGCGCTGTGCGGTGTGGGTATTTGAGGGCCGGGGAATTGAGGAGGTCGTAGAGGGAGGGGGAGGGACCTGGGAGGGGTTCTCTGATAGTTTCGGATAGGAGGACTTTGGAGGGAGTCATTTCGCCCATTTTACTTGAATTGTGAATATTAATTTTGATTTCACTTTTGGAATGAGAGACAAAAGAGGTATCAAGAAGACTAGGGAAAGGAGGGACTTATCTCGAGGGAAAATGAGAGTTATCTAGTTATCTACTGCACTGCACGTAGGGTCAGATCAGCGGTTAATCGGAAATGTTGCTCTTGAAGCTAAAAAGCTTGGAGCTGAGTGAGACTTTAACTCAAAACTAATTGCCTCAGTGGCGACCACGAACCCTCAACTATCCTATGAACGCCGATGGCAGCGTCAAACTCAAAGAAATGCTCAACAGCCGGTAGCACGGCTGGCAAATCAGAGATCTTGTTGTGGGGATCCGGTGCCATGGCACAATGTCCGAATTAGGCCGGGCTGCGAGTGCTGACTGTACTTTGTCCCGATTTGAGTTGGCTGGTCAGCCGCCAATGATGATGGTGGAGCCTCTGAGAAGCTCACCTTATATGAGACTCAGCACTTATTGAAATGCTATCGCAATTAGGGATGGCAAAAATTTAATCAATTAAATTATTATTAATGGTCAAGCCATTATTAAATGCGTAATTTTATGCGTAATTTATGACTTTTAATGAAAATATCAATCACGTGGCATAACATTAAGAATGAAGTTATATTTTTATTCCTCCCCACCCATAGTAATATCTGATGCTAGTATCTCGTCGATAAAGGCACTAAGATCTGACCAGTTCTCCTTACTTAAAGGAGGAATAGTGGTATTGATAGTAATGATATTAGTAGTGTTTTTACTAATGCAAAGAAAGTGTGTATCGCATGCACTGGATTCTAGCCCTCTGATTGGCCGGATTCAAAATCTACTCAAGACCCACTTAATTTAATGTTTAATGGTCAAAAGAGGATTAAGTTAAATTATTTCTTAATGGGATAGCAATTAAATTTAATTGTCCATCCCTAATCGCAATTAGTTATTGAGACAAATAATAAAAGTGATCAGATGACGGGGAGTAGGGGGCTGGAAGTTGGGAGACGGAAGAGTCGGGTTAGTAGCTAAATTTAAAGATTACGGGTGGCTGGATTGTGAGAGTGAGATTATTTAAAAAGATAAATCAGTGTTGGTGAGGTTGTCGCTGGTATAAATGGGGAATATGGTGATATCATATGTCATATGACAGTGGATGGAGGGAACTAGGAGGCATTTGACGCATTACATTATATGAGAGACGGTAAGACCTTAGGTTCAAGGTGAGAGAATCTAATTCTGATAACCCTTCATGTGGGAGAACACAGCATGCCGATCAAGATGTTTGATTTATGACTGCGAGATGCGCGAGTAAATACCAAGGCTGAGAAATACCCCTCTTCATTGCTCAATCCCGAGAGTAACCGACAAGTCTGTCTAGTTGATTGCCCCAAGGTCTTCTCAGCAAAACCATGTAATCTTACAAAAACTAGTATCCGCAACGCAAGAAACGGCATCCGCAGCACAAGACTCAAGGCTCACCTCCACTGGAACCCACTTATGTTCAATCTCGATGTCCAATCCCCAAGCCTTGAACTGATCCGAACTCGTGAATCCGCGAAAGCGCAGGTGCTGATTAAGAGCCCGATGCACGTCCTCTTCTGTCTGCGTCTCCCGAATCGGAAGGATAGTGAACTCCTTGACGTTCACCAACTTCAAGATCATGTCCAAGTAATGGGGATTATCACTAAATACATGAAAATTTCGTGCTCTTTTTTTCTTCTCGCATTTCTTTAAACGGGATATTGAGCGAATTAGCCCGGTCCTAAGCAATAGTCGTCGCGGACCCTGTATCCTAGAGAGTAATCCTGCCAACCTCGAAATTGACATAAACAGTGTTTCTCCGCACATACTCCATATACTCCTTATCAATGCAGATTAGTGGGCGCTCCAGACACTTGGTTTACTATTTGCCACCTTCTTTGCGGGACTCGCGACTGGCATGCGTGATTCCCGCATATAGGAGTTGACTGGGGACGAGGGGAGAGAGTTGGGGTCCGCTCCAGGGGAGAGGGATGTATTTTAGGGACCAGATGTGGATGTAACGGCGTTTCACTGCTGCATGTCCCCATGCCATACGTTGTAGTTCGAGGGATAAGTCGGAGAACTTTGTGAATGAGGTGGCCGGCTGTGGACGTAATGGTGCAGCAAAGACGACTTGAAGTTGTGGTCCTGTGGAAGTTGTTTGAGGAGTTTTTGAAGTTGCGAAATAGTGTTGAGGAAATACGATCTAAGAGGGTGGAAGCTGCTTGAGGATGTTTGGGAGTCGTGACATGGTACTAGAAGGTTGATGTTGACGACCTGAGGTGGTTGTGGGAGTTGTTGAGGTAGGATTCGATTTGTTTTGTGATGTTTAGGGGAAATAGTCGAAAACTTTGGTGCCGTATGTTTGATTCGGGGTTGTAGTTGGATTGTGGTGACGAAATTGGTCGCCATTATATAAGGCGGGTTCAGAGTAAATATTTATTCATTAAGCGACCCGCAACAAAATATACTCGAACCATGGAAATCAGTTTTATATTCTCGAAAGCTTTGGAGAGTTTCCATTGACATATATCCTAAGAGATTCACAGATCTGTACCGGATAATAGCGCAGACCGGGTTGTATAGTAACTATTTTTAATAAAGCTAGAAGGACTGTTAGCCCACACACTGAAGAGACTACAAGTAGTACAGTAGCCTGAGACTTGCGTTGACCTTAACTAAAGAGATAATACTATGCGTTTATTTATTTAGCTTATATAACTATATCACTGCTCAATTATACATTCGATGATATAGTATTAAATAGCAAATTTCATAGCACTCATTTCACCTTGCCTTGGACTTTTATTCACAAATTGTAGAGGACCTTTAGCGGCTGCGCAGCTTTCCAACATCGTTCAATTTTTTTTGGCTTAGGCTTAGGGGCAAAACGTTTCCAAACAAACCGCTCCCCCCCCCCCGGCGGGGGGTTGCCACCAATAGAGAGCTCACCCCTCTACCTACACCTCCACACAATGGCTGCCGGGGGTGCTTTCCTTAGGCTGCAGCACCGGTGGTGCCGCATGATCTCGATCTAAATCTATTGGCTTGCCGCATGGTCCGGACTCTAAAGTCACCTATAACGTTTTTCTCGAACTCACTATTTACTCGATAACTTTCTTTCTAGACCTAAAGGATTTATAAAAACCTTCCCAATAGACTTTTAAGGCTTTATTTTATCTTTCTTAATACTTCACGCATTATTTTAGGTAATAATAGCGCCTTTTACTTTTAATTACTCGAATTTATTATATTTTGGCTTCCAGAATACGGATTTTATATATTTATAAGACCCCTAATTAATTAAAAGTACTTAAATATAAAGTTATTTATTATCTTATTATTTTTTTATTTCTATTTGTTTTTAAAGCTAGCTATTAACTAATATATTAATATTTAATTTAATAAAATCCGTTATAAATATAAATATTATAAAGACTAATTCTTAAATACCTAAATTAGCTATAACTTCTTTTTTAAAAAGCTAGCTTATATTAATTTCAGGAAGTTCTTCTCTTTTACTCGAATTTAGCTAATAATAGCTTTAAATATAATAGATATATAAAGAAGAAAAAACTAATATTTCTTTATTTTAATTAAATTAATTACTTTATTTAATTAGCTAAAACTTGTAATTAAGATTAAAGGAATTACTTTTATATTACTACTATTAGCTATACTTATATAAACTAGATAAGCTATTAGTATAGCTAATTTCTTTACTTAAGACTTTTTATAAAGCAAGTAAAAGAAAATAAACTAATTATTAAACTAAAATTTATATAATAATTAAAATCCCTATTATAATATATGTAATAACTTTCTAATAAAGTTATTTACTTTTGCTCTAAGCTCCATTAATAATAAACATTATGAGATCCATGCTTATTGTTTTCTCGCAGAAGTAATCATATTGAAGTTAAGAGTCGATGTTGCCCCTCACAGTCGCAATAAGCGAACTTTTAGTAAAGGGCTTAAGGGGCTTCAGGGGCAGCTCGGTTACCGAAGCGAGCTTCACATCCAGTCACCAGTGAATGCTCATCATAAAACGAAAGGAACATGAAAATCGAAAATGTTCCATTAAGTTCTTTATTAGGTCCAAAGATTGAATAGTTTTATCTGTTGTTAGATAACCGAGTTCGCTGTATCTTCCCAGCTCGTCCCTTCGTCTACCGGTGTGTTGTGTAGTTTGCGCTTGGATGCGGGTTGGTGATCCCGAGGTTATTCGCAACTGCACCGCCAGGTGGGACATATCCTCCAGCTAGAGTAACCGCGGCCTGAACGTTCAAGAAAAAGTCGCAATGGCTCTTGAGCGGCTCCGGATTCGTGATCAAAGTGAACTCAGTACCGCCCACATTCAAAACATTGCTCAGCTGCTCCTGCTGCTGTCCGGTCGTATGAGGCCAGTTGATGGTTGCCGGGTTGTTAGCAGTATTACGGTGAGTGTTAGGGTTCCTTGTAGTGCTCAAAGAGACGAGATAGCTCTGGTAGTCTTTGTAGATGGCATCCAGCGTTGATGTTGCTGCGCCTGAGCCATTGTAGAAGGTGGGTGTCAAGTCATCGCTGTGAAAACCAGGAGGAATGCCGTACTGTATTGTCCAAGTCTTACCCTGGAAGACATTGTTCAGGTACCGCAAGTTGCAGAGAAAGTTGGTATCGTCGAGATACTGAATTGTGCGATCGTTTTGAGTGGGGTAAGGGCTGCCTGGCGTGTTGGGCGATGGATAAAAGTTGACGACGGCTGTTCTCAAAGTAGGTGCGTATGGAGGAATGATGAAGTTGACGAGATTAGCGAAAGCAGGATCCGTCTGGATTTCTCCATCAACAAAAACGAAGCCTTCATTGGAAACATGGGACAGTATAAGGCTTGTTATCCCAGCAAAGTAGTTCCCAGAGGCAAGTTCAAGTGCTGGCATTTGTCGAACCCAAGCACCATCAGCAGCAGGTCCAGGTTTGAAAGCAGAAGGACCAACATTCGAAGTAACTTTCTGATTGGCGGCGACCAGAGTGGCGAGGGGTGCAGAACGGAGACATGCAATAGTCTGGCCAGCGCAGCCGGAAGCGTTGAGAAATTCTTGGTAGAAGCTCTCGACCTCCCCTCGACGATCGACGAGTATTTCGGAAGCAATGGATTGCATAACAACTTTACGGAACAGAGGGTCTTGCTTGCCGCCAAAAGCCGTGATATGGTGCAAGATCGATCCAGCTCCAGCAGATTCTCCCCATGCAGTGACCTGAGCAGGGTCCCCACCAACCAGGGAAATGTAGTTTTGTACCTAAACAATCTCAGTGACTCTCAGACTAGAATCAGAATGCTGGAAGTCATACCCATTGATAGGCTGCTCTCTGATCGTAGAAGCTAGAAGAAAAGTCAACTTATATTAACGAGAGTTCAATTAAAGAGCGAACCCAGCATTAGGCAAACCTTGCTTCTCCATCGTTGTGCCAGCAAGGAAACCAAAAGAGCCAACCTGGGGTAACTATCAGTCTTCTAAATCACGTTCTGGAATATATCTTCAGGCATACGCGATAATTGTATGTCATAAAGATCATCTTCCCTCCAGAAATTGCAATTGGTCCATTGCCGGTAAATGGGCCGTCTTTCGACCCAAAGATGTATGCTCTGTGGGTAATTAGCGAAGCGCCGTGAGCGTTCAGCAGGCTGGCGATTACCCCCCGTATGTCCAAACGGTGACAGGCAATTTTAGGCTCGGGTTATTCAACGCATGCCGTGGAACATATAGACTAGAATTGGAATCAGTCTCTTGGATTCAGAAATCCGAGAGCTTTTCTTCCTACTCGAGAAACAAACAATCCTCTGCACCTCCTGTGAAATCTGATGAGTTCACGGTTAGCACCAGTATGTTTGATATACTTAGGGCTCAACTGACCTCTGTGCATTGAGTTAGAATTTCATTCAGTGCGCTTTAGTAGAGGCAAACTTACCCAGGCGCTCCAGGTGGAGTTCCTTGTGGGCATGCATTGCCGTAGCTCCCATCCTGGATGGTACGATTGAGAGCTGGGGGCGCCGGTTTGGCCCATCGCAGATTTCCAGTAGGAGGAGCAGCAAATCTGATGTTCTTGAACGTGTAAATCTAGTGGTGTATTAGTCTCATCATCTCTCGTGATTCAAAATCCGAGGTCGGCTTGGGAGATGGGAATCCTCTCGCCCAGGAGACATACATCATTGACACTGTCGTAGCTTGCTGCCCGCCATCTCCCGTATGGAAGAGTCAAGATTGGAAGAGACTTTGGAGTTGAACCGAACTCAACACCAAGAGTTTGTGAATTTGGGGATGCAACCGCAGAGAGGGCGTGGATGACAATTAAACCGATGGAAGCTAAGTGCAACATATTGCCGCTGTCTAACAGACTCTCAGAGAAGACGTATTTGCTGATTCCTTTTTGTCTGGCCGTGCAAGGGATCTGCAAGGCAGAAGTGGAGTGTCCACAGATGACCCCCGTATGTTCTCCGGGAAACGTAATTAAAATTCCGTCCCGTACTCTCCGCCTGGAGAGCCGGTGACTCAAATCATGATTACATTGTTCTCCACCCAGAAATCCACGTGGTGACTCTGCATATGGGATGCCTGCTTTCCGGGAACCTGAAACTACCAAGTCCGATCCTAACAGCTGAAGATAGAGGTTTTGGAAATGTATTACTGTCCACAGTAGAAAGCACGCAAGAATACATCACTTCAATAAGCAACTTCCGTCCACTTTTCCCACCGGCCACTCCTTGCTACCCTTGGTATTGTGCATGCATAGTAGGGGCTCGGTAAATCCACATATAGTCGGCTAAAGTAAGAAAGTGGACGAAGATGCCCCAATCCTCCGAAATGGGATCAGTATTCCATGCGTCCACATTGTTTTGATCACAGGGCGGAAAACGGACAGCTTACAAAAGTGAAACCAGGGCCTTATCTAATGCGCTGCTACATCTTTTGATGCCGTGGAATCCGCCGGTGCGAACGGAGAGGACCATTGCCTATCGCGTTGCAATACCAGCCGAGAACACCACTACAATGCCTATGGGCATCCCAATTATTGATCCAAGGAGGCAAGTTCGTGATTCAAGGCAGCATGCAAGGCTTGGATTTTGGGGCGAGATGTCACATATTTGGGGGAAAGATTCAAATAGGCGCAGAGCGGTGAACAAGTTCAATTGTCATCTGAGTTTGCAGCAGGATTTGGAGGGCGAATGGACGGGTCGGGGTTGAATGGCCACCGACTGAACATTCTCCGTTTCGGAATGAATCAATGGTCCCCCCAGCATCTGACGTCACTTTCACAGCAACATGGGTCTTTGCTCTTAGCATAAATTGTCGGCGATAACGAGACTGGCATATTCCACACCGAGCGATGCATTATCAGACACCTCAATGGCAAACGCGACGAAGTGAAACCGCAACCACCAGTGGCGTATTAACATAAGTTTGGAGGCTTTACGATGGTTCTGTACACCTGAAGAAAGATCTCGAGGAAAGTGTTGAGGCAATCATATGGGTGAGATTCCCACTTGGTAAATGACAAGAACACAGGCAATAGAGAGGATATCTGCAAGCTCCTAGCCCTGAAAATCCGAACGTACCTAGACTCGTCAATATTTGGCTGCACAGGGCAGAACTTTCCCTTCTGAATCTCCATCAAAACCGTAAACTAAGAAATCAGATCGGCAAACACTCTCTTAAACCAGATGATCAGATCTAAAAGGTAGTGACGATGAACGAAAAACCTGACATTAAAAAAAGGAGAAAGGTTATTAAATATGTTTGTTTTCATTCCTCAAGCCATAAATCTCTCTCCATCTAAAGTAATTTTCATGAAAATGCAAAGAAACAAAATCAGCGCTCATATCCCAGCATGCCCATGATCTGATCTCATAATATTCGCTTCTTTGCCTGGTAAAAGCCCTGGTTACCCCTTCCCGTGCGTGCCTTTCCCCTTTTCCTTGTGTGCTATTTGCTTGCTAAATCGAAATAAAGTAAATGAAATGAAAAACATAAAAGTCCTGGTTCCCCACCATCCACCCTCCCTTACTTCCGTCCTTCCCCTCCCCTCCCGCATAAATCCGAAAACGAGGAGCGTGCATGCAAGCTCGATGATATGATGGCAAATCTCAAATTCTCAGCAATCTTATCAAAACCGCGAAAAGAAGAAGCGCAGCGAGACCCGCTAGTCAAGCGCTCACCAACTCCCAGGCAACCATCTGCTCGACTCGTGCTTGTTTCTCCAACTCGAACTTCTCGTCTTCAGAGTCCTCAGCATCAGAAAGAGAAAGCGAAATCTCATCCGGATTAAGCACCTCAGAAACCGGCGAGAGTGAATCAAGAGCATCGAGTCTCAACTTCTCGCTTGGAATCCGAAGGTTCAGCTCATCCGTCTCCGCTTCCTCGCTATCATACCCATTGATCCCCTTTCCGGCCCCCAGCCCTCCGAATCCAGCTTTACCGCCTTCTGGACCGCGCGGCATTCTGGCTACCCCACCCATCTCATTTGCTTCCTCGTACAGGTTCTTATTCTTGCGGTGGTGGTGAGGATTCGAAGGTGGGGATGAGGGGTTCGAAGAGGGAGGCGAGGCTGATGGCGAGGAAGCAAGTAGATCGTGCAAGCTGACTTTCGGTGGTGATTTATTGAGTTTCTTGGGGTTGAGATTGTGATTTGTTGGTAACAACGAGACAAGAGTTTGCGAGGGAGGGAGTTGGACGCGGTGGTTTGCGATTTCTTTGCTTGAGAAGGTGGAGTAGGAATCGTTGTCTTCCTCCGACTGAGCATTGCCATTTTCGCATACCGCGTTGGTAGCCCCGGCCGTCGTGGTTTCGGTTTTGTTGACAAGGTCATGTTCGGCAGAGGCTAGAGGGTTGGAATTCTGGCTGTCGTGACGTCCAGATCTCTGTCTCTCGCCAACATCCTCGAAAGAAGGAACACGAGGCGCATACTTGCTGCCCGCCAATCCCACAGGGGCTTTGGTGAGGCCTTCGTCTTTCCACCACGCCTCGCCACCCTGGAGCATCATTTCGTTGACATTCCGAACCAATATCGCGTTAATGTCGCACTCTCCTTCTCCATTAACTACGCCATTCTCCATCTCTGCAAAACCATGCGTAGGTGAGTTCGGCGGTGCCGCGACTCCAGCCCCTTCCTTGCCCCCAATCTCAACTTCCATTTCAACACGAGAAGTCGTCGTTTGAAGTAAATCCGAAGCAGGACACTCCCCCTCCAGCTCCTCAAGAACCTCATCCGCCCAGCTGTCCCCCTGCAACCCCCGGCCGCTAAAACTCGGGATCTCGACTTTCTGATTCGAGAGAGCAGCAAGTCTCTTCCGCTCCCCACCTTCCCCTCCCTTCACAACCTCATCTCCATCTCCATTTGCACATCCACCCATAGCACGCTTCTGAAGCCCCGCCCAGTTCTTAGGCAGCACCGGCGGTCTCGGCTCGACTGGAAGACTGAGTTCTTCAACGGGACCAGCGCAAGGATCATCCGAAAACAAGACCTCGAGACCACGGTACGCGGGAACACGTGTAAGGATCCTATACGCAGCGTCCGCCGAAAGCACGTCTGAGAAGTGTAAGTGTAGAGTGCCGTCTTCATCGATCCACATCTCGACCAACATATCTGCTCTCCTGCCATTCCCAGCACTCAGTTGTCTCTCTAACTCATTTAGAGAGGATGAGGGTGGGAAGGAGGGGAGGGAGAGGCAACGAGTTTGCGCGTGGAAGATGAGGCGGCCGAGGATCCGGGGATTCAAAGGGTATGTTGGCGTTGAAAGGATCGTTACGGTTGCGGGAGTCAAGGTGGAGGAGTCGGATTCGGAAGTGGAGCTGGAGGGGAAAGCGAGAGGATGTTGGCTGCAGTAAAGAACGTATTCCTCAGCAGCGACTTTCTGACGGAACACGATTCTCGCTGATAGAGAGGATGTGATACTTCGAGTGTCAAACAAACTCGCACTTAGCACCTCACCACCTCTAACTCTCGCCAACACATCTCTGAGTGCCGTTTCAAGTGGGAGGTTGGTGAGCATAACGGTACGGAGGTAGTTGGAATCAGAAGTAGAAGGGCGGTAAGAGATGCCATAGCGGAAGAAATCCGGGAACTTCGTCTCAGCATCCCGCGCACGAGAGGAGGTGGCGCGCATATGTATCTCGACCGCACCCTCCCTCTCCTCGTCCTCCCACAAACTCTCGTCTTTACTCAAATCAGCAGAGATCTTCAACGCTAGATCAGAATCGCTCCTCAGGGCTCTTGATCCAGAAAGCGGTGGATTGGTGCCAAAATGATCGTAGTCGCGCATTGAGCGTTGGCGTGCGTAGCTGGGAGGGGCACGAAGGGGGTGGGTGTCGTAGTCTTCGCCGCGCTTGGTGCCTTCTACTTCAAATCCAACCTTGAGAACCGAGGGTTTGGGCAGCGAGTTTAATTTCTGGAGGGCCGATTGGTTGTCGAGGAGTTGGGCGTCGATGTCTTTTTCTTCCCCCATGCCATATTGTGCGGGTGCTAAAGGAGTGGCGGAAGAGGGATTGGGATTAGAGTATGGGAAGGAAAGAGCGGGAGGGAAGCCATTTGAGTCCATTTCCATGTTCTCTTCTAGGGAATGCAAGCCTATGTCTGCGAAACTTGTATCAAAGCTTGTGGCGTTGAGAACAGGAGTGTTTGGTACTGTTGTTGAGCCGGAACCAAAACTGTTGTTGAAGTTCGAGGGTCCAGTTTCTCCGACACCGAGAGATGGGTTGCCCCATGAGCCGATCAGGTCTTTCGATGTCAAGCCATTTGCGTTGCTACTATTGTGGAAACTGGGATCCGAATTGCCCCACGAACCAATGAGTTGTTCAGGCGTTGGTCCATGTCCACCTCCATTCTGGAAAGAATTCTTAAAACCACCACCATTCAGCACCCGTTCTTTGCTCTCCCCCTTCTCCCCAGAAGACGCTGCAATCGGTGTTCCGGGTCGAAAATGAACATGATGTTCTTCATCCTCACCAAGAAGTGATTTCACAGCAACTCCATATCCCATCTCCTTCTCTCGCTTCCTCAACACCCTGTTCTCTCTCCTGAGACGGTCGATCTCTTTCTCAAGTCCCTTGACATCTATTCTCGCGCCCCCCATATCTCCACCCATGCTTGAATTTCCCATAGACACGCTTAGTCCCACCCCTCCGCTCTGTGCACCTCTCTCAGTGCTCGCACCTGAAGTGGGATTGTTATTGTGGAACCGAGCAAGCGACTCGATCACAATCCCCAGACTGCTAGAAACGGCATCTTTATCCCGCCTCGCATGCATCAACTCATTCTCCAGCACTGCAACCCTGATTCTCAACTCCATAATCTGCTCCAATTGGCCTCTGTTCAGTTCCTGAACCTGGGCGATGACAACTTGGGAGTCTTGGAGATTTCGGAGCGGCGCTGCACTTTGAAGAAATGGTTGGCGAGACATGGTATGGTGTTTATGCTCAGCCTCATCGGAATCAGAAAGTTGACCACGGGATTGATGCAGTTCGTGTTGCAGGTTGCTTGGTTGAATATTGCCGTTCATGAGAGGATGAGAGGAAAGGCGGTTGGAGCTGGTGTTTGGAAGGTTGAACTGATTAGAGTTTATTGCTGCGTTTTGCAGTGCTGAAGACGCTGTTAGGTTGGCTTGAACACGACCAAATGCCTTATCAGCTTCAGCCCTGACGCAATCCAATTCATTTTCGACGTCGATCGATCGCGGGGATTGCATTGTTGTGTTTTCCGGGGTTGGAGTTGAGTTTAAATTCGGTACTTGAGGATAGGGATGGCGGTTTGCTGACATGACAGTTTTTTGGCTGTAGAAGGTGAGTGTGATGTTGTCGGAGATTTGAGAGATGATCTGTACATTTGTTGGATTAGAGGAAAAGGCGAGGGGCTTCGGGTTGGGGTAGAGGTGAGGCCGTTGATATTGCAGATGAGTCAAGGTCGAGGATGGGAAGATGAACTAGGTTGATGTTTGATGGGGCGTCAAAACTCCCAAGGATTGAGGTTCAGAGTTTGTCAACGAGGTAAGTTGAGGGAGAAGGATAGATGAGGGGTGATGAGATGTCAAGACTTAGGAGCTGAGATCCTCGAAACTGCCTTCGAAGGTTTGTGACTCAAGATAAGTCGCGAGAGTTCAAGATATCTGGAGTCCTAGCTCGCAAGAAATCTTCTAAGTTTGTGTCCCTGTCGCAGTCCAAAATATGTACTCACTTCCATCTAATGGCCTCAAATCCTCAAACGCAAATGAAGCAGCAAGTTCTTGGGCATGCCAAACCGAATTTCAATACAAGGTAATTTCACCTTCCTTCGGCGATGTCGAGGTTTTCAAGATTGCCGTGTTGGAAGATGAACGTCGAAGGTAAAATCGAAATTGAGAGAACGAGCTCACGATCTGCGGTCAATTCAGATGTAACCTTCTCCCCCACTTCGTGCCGCAGTATGTGAAGGTGATGGTGGCGAAGACGAAGAGGTAGAAGGTTGAATTGAGTTTGAAGTTGTTTCTTGTTCAGACGTAGCTGTCTTGCACTCGTGCCCAGAAGCAGCGAATAGAAGATTATTACAAGAGAGGATGTAGAATGTTAAGAGGTAGAAGGTGACGAAGAGGAATTGTAGGATCTGGCTGAGGTAGTGGATGGAGGACGGTGGGAGAAGTGTGAGGAGGAAGAGCAAGGGGTGATGATGAGTATTGTTGTGAGGATGGTTGATAGTTTAGGTAAGAGGGAGAAGATGGTATGTACGTGTGTTAAAGTTGGGAGTATTGTTATTTGTTGTATGGCGGTACGGGATAGGGGTTGTTGTTTTGAAGAGGTGGAGTGGAAAGGGGAGACGGCGTGAGCTCGGCTAGAAATAGTCGAGTTGAGCTGAAGACTTCAGACGAAGTGGTTCCAATGATGGTAGTGAATATCCTTCTACACTCGTAGTCAAGCCCTCGTTCACTTTCCGAAGCGAAGCAGAAGCAGAAGCAGAAGCAGAAAGGGAAAGGGGCTTGGTAAAGTATCAACATTGCAATATCCATCACAAGCTTCGCGATTTCTCATACAGATCCTCATTCCTATTCCCAATATGCATCCTTCGTATTGCCAATTACAATCCCATTTCCGCGGGTGTGTCCCAAATCACCTATTTTTAACACCTATATCATTAACTCCAGCCATTTCCCGCCCATGTAAAACGTACACAGGTATCAATTTCTGCTCTTCGATGACCAGCCTTTGCTTTCTCTCTTCCCATTCGCGGGTGTTGCTACCACAGCAGCCTCTTTGTTATATGAGCTAGCATGGCTCTTCCCGCCTCTGCTGGTATCAACGACTCCATCACCGTAGTTGTAGCCCCCAGTCGCATGTTGCAATTGATGCGGTCCCCACGCAACCGGTGGCCGCATCTCGATTTCCTTTTCCTTTTTGCGGATGTATCTGCGTCTTAGCAAGCAGGCTGCAATCCAGCCACCGACAATAGCTACGACAATGACCACCAGCGCGATGACCCATTTGTAATGTGAGTCGAGCCTAACTCCATCATCAGTACTATCTAAATTCAAGACCTAGGGGAGGCTTACCATTGACTTCCAGCACTCTTCGGGCTGCTCGCATTTGTAGATGTCGGCGAAGATGTGCCCCCAGTCGTGGAACCGGTGTTCCCTTTATTCCCAGCACAATAGCTATCATACCACGTCTTAATCGCCTGTAGATCCGACGCTGCTGTGCAAGATCCAATCCCAACACAAACCGCAGAGACACCGCTTGTACCGGCGTTATCGAAGGGGGTAAGTCGTGTATCCGTACAGAAACAGTTTGGGTTAACGGCTGGGATGTTGGGAGGAGCGCATTTGCCTTGGACGTCGTAAAGAGGGCCGCAGTTGGAGGCACATGCTGGAAGCACGGATGTGAATGGTACGATTGGCCCGTCTGCTGCTTGGGGATTTTGAGAGACGGTGAGGGAAAGGAGGGAGAGGAGGAGGAATGTCGTGGTGGGATGCATTTTGGTGATGTTGAGTGGATGGACGGATTGTTGGGCGAACTGTCGTGATACTTGAGACTGTCCTCAAGGCTGTCGATTCTCAGATGATGATCTTGCAGTTGAGTACAATGCAGGATCCCCGATGTCGAATTCTTCCGATTTTCATTGGTTTGCTCGTGTGCCCCTCGTCCTGGCTTCGCGATGTCAAGTCAATCAATCAATCGCCCAATCCTTCCCAGTCCAGATTGCAATCCCCAACCTCGCTCAGTCAATTCTGTCGCGTGCGGCCTCGATATCGCGCCGTCGTCGAAGGCCGTTGTACTGTGTTCCTCTCTCCAGCGCAATGGCTTCACGTACGATGTCTCGCGTTTTCGTTGCAAAGGGCGATCGTTTGTCCTCCAAGCCTTTTCTAAGAACAGGGATGGTTGCTTCCCCAAATCAGCCAATCTCGGCTGACGGCGATCTCGAAACAATCTTCAATTGCTTGTTGCCTCCTTTGCGGGTTCATGCGATGAGGGAACGACGAAGGGGGCGCGAACAAACGAGTGTGGTGTATGTGAAGAGTGTCGGACGAGGAGAGAAGAGGGGAAAGGAAAGGAAAGGAAAAGAGGGAGAGGAGAAATGGCGTGGTGGGTTGTTGGATCTGGGATTGCTGAGGAGGAGCGTGAAAAGGCCGAGGGTGGGCCAATCACGGGGTCCACTCGTTTGGCTCCGGGCCCTGTTTTTACTTTATTTTATCCCTGCAATCGACAACCTTTTTGATTGCATTTTCAATTTGCCCTGCTCGTATCTATATATGTATATTTGCCTGTTTATACCCCGATGAAACCATAAGTCTCCTTCTCCCCTTTCTCTCGATGCATCTTCCCCTTTTCTTTCGTTCTTGTCATTCAACTCCTCTCCGCACACTGGAAAGTTTCCGCGATCTCGCATGACCCTTCCCCACGATTAATTTGGTCCCGGGGCCCAAGTATTAGGCAGCCCGTCAGGTACAAGTGCCCCCTAAAACATGTGCTTAATTCAAGCGACCTCGTTTTGTTTCATGTACAGTGAGAAACGTGGGACAACCTCCTATTTGTCTGGACGGAGGGGGGAGGACACGGGTGATGAAGAAACAAAGAGAGTAATATCGCCCTCCACCAGAGTCAATATTCAGAGATAGGGGGGTCCTTATAGGCGACGGGAAGCCGCACGGCTCCGCAATGTGAAATCTCTATGTAGTGATTATTATAAAATAAATAACTGTTAAAGAACTATTTAAGAGCTTTTGGTGTATTAGTTAACAGGAGAATATACTATGATTATGGGAATATGTAAAGCGTGGTTTGTTTTTAACTATGGGGGGAAAATCAAGCACGGATACACTGTTGTGGTTTAGATCACGTGAATATTTATCACGTGAGACCCAAGCGAAGCAAGATAAAAGCGCGTCCTCCATCCAGCTCTCACTTAGCTCCTTAGCCAATCGCACCAGCTTTTGGCCCCCCCCCCCCCCCCACAATTTATATGGTTGTATCCCTCCTTTCATTATAAGTCACGTGATATGTCATATCTATGTATCTTAAGGTGGAGAAGCTCCTTAAAAGTAGGGCCTAGTCAATAAAGCTAGGCTGGCGCGCGAAAGCTCTGAACGTCGTTCTTAACCTTAATAACTACGCCCTCCTTAAATAAATCACAGAATCGATCGATTCGAGCACAACCACCAAGACCTTCTAGCCTGTAATGCCCTTTATATTTAATGCCATGGCACAGAAGGGCGAGGACCACGGGGTGTGCAGAGCTACAGGGGTACCTGAAGCTAAGAAGGGATTAGCGAGGACATGGTGCACGCTAGTCCGTACTGTTAATAACTTTTTAATTATGGAAATTTTTACCTATAGATAGCTTTCCATTGATGATTAATACGTCTCACAGCTCCACAATAAGAAGAAATCGATGGTGGATTTATAAGGAATTCATAGTGCGGAGCCCTGCGGCGTTGCCATAAGTGTTTTCCTGATGTATATAGTCACGTGATCATGAGGAGCTGGTCACCCTCGAGGTCTCGAGTTGAGCTCAATCACCCAATTGCCTTAGGCAACACCGTCTGAAAGTCATCCAGGGCGTCCAATTAAACATGGTTTGAAATGGTGCCCAAGGAAGTCCCTGTTCGAGGATACGATTGGAGGTTGACCAACGAGGGGCAAGTTGAGATCAGGCTATCGTCCCAGGCAGGCAGACAGGCGTCGCGGGAGAGTTTGAACCTCAACATATTGCACTTCAACCCATTGCTCATGAACATGAAGATATTCTGCTTCCTTTCAGCAGCCAAATCGTATTCTTCATTCTAGAATTGGAGGGGAGCCATTTCTGGCTCCCCTCATTTACTTAGCGCGAAGAGCCTGTGTTACGGGGTATAAGAAGAGCGCTTCGCCCAGTTTCCCTCCATCTTTCATTTCCAACAAACTCAAGGAATCCCATCATTTTGGTTTGCAGTGCTCCCTTCGTCAACAAGTAATCTCCAAACTTTTAATCAATTAAGAGCTTCGTTTTAATTTCTTCTAGAAGCCCCTCGATTGTAGGATCAATTTATTCTCGTCGGTGTTCTCGTGCTTTGCTCGCGAACTCGCAACTGCGACCGGTGACCTAACTCTAACCATGCTTCCACAGTTTCAACACCAGTTTCTATCGTTCATCTAATATGTCTGAGGTATTTATATGTCTCACCTTACATGTTCTAATTGTTTCGAGGTATTGGTAAACCCCTACTGCCAGTGCAGCTCTGCTCACTCCATCTCTTATCGCTTCAGTTTCATCAAATGATCTTCTCTTTTACAACTTTCAACGTCGCTACTGTTGCGAAGATCACTTGATGAGCTTCACGCTGACTTATCTCGAACAGCACCATGGCCCCAAGCCTGATTTAGTTTCTGGGATTCTTACCACTGCCACACAGTGCACGTCTTCGAATGATTCATATCACTCTGCTACGTCCTCTCTCACTCAAGAAGAGATCGACAGCGATGACATTACATTTTACGGTAACAGCGGACTTCCAATGACCACCACTACTCGGCACACATATGGTATTGAGGGAAGATTCGTTGATGGGGCTGGACCTCGTTTCGAGAACACTCAATCTGTCACAAAGCAACCTGGCTTCAACACGTATACTGTCCGACCCCTTCCAGGTGGAGGGAGGAAGGTCCCCTGCCCAGATGACACATTTATGACGCGCTTGGGCCCAAACGTGGTAGAATTCAAAGTGAACAAACGACGTTCTGCTCGGCAACAGAGTCACGGCAGCGAAAGTGCTTTGCTGGGTCATCCCAACAACCATACATCGCCGCCCTCAAGATAAGTCTCCGGTTCGCAGTCAAAAAGGACCCCTTGTGTTCTTCACAGGCAAAATTCTTCCTTTCGGTTTCATCTATTCTGAACTTCTTTCCTCCTTCCTTTCGGATACCCACAAATTGCTTCCACGTTCCTTCTTTCCACGGTCTTGTCCTAGATTCCTTTTCGCCGCTCGCGAACAGCCCAACAAATTTGGAAATCCAACTGCACAAAGTTTGCAAGAACTCTGGTCCTTTATAGATTTAGTTTAATCAAACAATTGATACCTTTTCATCACACAGCCTCAAGTTCTCCCCATGTCCCCGTGATCACTCTTCACCACCAATCAGCACCCAAAGAACTTTGCATAATGTTTTTTTCTTCTGCTTCTCATTGGTAGATATTCCGGGAATGCCTCGAAATATCTCGCAGATCATTGCCGCGCAGGTGTTGGGTTCGTCCAATGTGCTTGCGGCGCTTCTACTACGCGCGCGTTACATCTAGCTTCCCTGCATGATGTGTCCTTTGGCCTCCTTGCTGCATATCGGATTGTCAAAATGTTCCTTGTTGGTCTGAGCCTGCCGTATCCTCAAGATCTACTCCTGCTGGATGCAATCGGTAGTCTCGGAACTCTGTTAGTGAAGATTTCTGCCTCAATTGTTATGAAGGCCTCCCACATCGTCAATATCGTCAACTCACAACCGCGAGCAAGTGCAACAATGTGCTTGGTTTCCCATTAGCAAAATTCCTAGCTTAGCCTTTTCGAACTCTGCAGATCGCCGTCATCACTAATGCACAATTTTCTATGTTTAGAAGCTCCCGGGGGGACCCGGTTCAGGTTGAAGCGCTCTCCAGTCACCTTTCTCCAAAACGATCCTGTCCGGACCGCATTCCCACTTACTCATTGGACAGTGCCCAATACCCAATGGCAACCCCCATAAATATAGAAACAGTCTTCAAGCGCGTGCTACCCTCGTCTCTTGCAGACGCCATTCCCATGAGAGTCCACTCCAACCCCGAACCCCCTTCCCCATACTCTCTTCGTCCAGTTGCTACTCTCAAATACCCGCCTCTGCTCTGACTCAATGCACTATTCTCATCTTACCGAGCGCTTCCAAGGACCAATGGCGTGGACCACTCTCGGTGAGCAAGGCGCTTGCTCATGAAGCTCTAGCATATAACTTCCATCACCGTCCCAATTCTCAGTTCCTAGATCCCGTTTTTCGTTCTCAAACAAGCGAGAGAGTGTCTGGTGGGGTATAAATAGTTTCGTTCTGTTCTGTGTGCACCATGTTTCCTTCACAGTAGAAGTGTTGTAAAAACCCATTCCAACTTGATTCTTCGTGACTTCATCTTCATTCCAACCCTTTTTGAATACTCAGCAACTTTCTTGAAATGTCTCAAGTATGTGGTTCATTTTCATATCTTTCTACGTGGCTTAGGGATTTCATCGCACTTCCTTCACTCCACCAAGTCGAATCGCTGCGTCTCCGGCTCGGCTCATCCACTTCCCCTGTTCTCTATCACTACACCTCAACCTCCAGACTCAAGCTCTTGCTAACTTCTAAAAACAGTACCAGCTTCCCATCCTCCCACTCCCCCTTTCCTCCAGGAAAACAGAAGCCTCTCACCCCTCTCCGGGATCCCTCACCCCAGAACAAATCGAGAAAGACAACAAATCCTACTATGCAGCCGACGGCCCCTCGCATACCAATACTACTCAAGGCACATCTCCCAAGACTGAACCACAGGGTGGTAAGGCAGGACCTCGCGTCGGAGGAACAACCAGCGGGCCACCTCGCTTTGACGCATACACAATCAGAAGGGGCCCAGGGGGTGCATGGCTGATCACTTGTCCAAGCGATATGGCGTTGAAGTCGTGGACTGGGAATGGGGCGCAGTTTAGGATCAAGAAGAGGTCCCGGCGTCGTTGTTCTAGCCGCGACTGCCCGAGGGACTCTCCTGTCTGCAGTTCGACACAATCATAAGTGTGAATGTTGGCGTGACCCGTGGACTATGTGTTCCAAATCTATCCAAAGTCAGTTACGGTTGCTAGACCAGAGGAAAGCAACATTAACCGACCTTGTGCAGGGTCCCGATTCATGGGTATGATAAACACGGATGCCCATTTAGTAAAGAATTTGGACACCGCTATGGCTGCTGATTCTGTGTTGTTTTCGAAACCGCAATTGGATGAGGATGTGAACTCTTGAGAGATAACAACAATCTATTCCCCAATTGGTTCTAATAGCAAGTAATTCCTCATTTAGGTGATCTTGGTGATGGTGGCGAATAGTTTGTCGGCCACGTAGTAGCAAATCTCACGCCTTTTCTAGATAGACTTCTCTGACCAGCAGCGGACGAAGGACTCAGCGGCAAAGATGCTCGAGGACTTGGCTTAAGAAGATAGTCTGGACTAGCCTCCGCTTTATTCAAGATAGTTCTCATCTTTTTCTTTAACCTCGTAGAATCGATGCGCTGGCTAGAATAAGGCCGTAGAAGGTCGTCCATGACCAAGTCGAGCAACTCGTGAAGCATCTTGGAACAGTTGCTGTGCATGTGGAGACGCTCCACTCACTGGACTACTGCTTCTCTGACAACTGCCGACCTCAAATTATTCTCGTCCCTGAGAATCGTAAAGAAGTTATCGTCATTGATGATCGTGTCTCTGACGATCGTATATCTCTTGTCGTTTATGACGAGGAAGGGTTCTCTCCTTTCACCGCGAGCGTTACCAAAGTCGTGAATAGCTTGGGTACCCTCCAGCAGCCAGGTGACAAACTCGAGGTATGGATCAACTCCAAAGCAGATGCAAGACCATACATCTGTCTAAGTGACCAGAGAAATATTAGAGGCTTAGGAAAAGTGTCGGTTCACCAGGAACGCGTAGCACCGTCACGTAATATGCGTGGAATGCAGGTGCGTTAAAGTTGGTAAAGTGGTTAATATTCAGAAGTAAGGATAGCAGTATTGTGGTATTAATATGCGATCCCTAAATCTGCTAAGCCTAATGGGGACTAGTTTACTGGTTGAGTTACGTATGTAACGCGAGCTTATATGACTAGTTACATAACTAGGAAATTCGCAGTGCAGCTATTCCGACAAAAAGATTATTTAATAAAAAGAAGTTTTGCTTATATACTTGCGAGGCTAGTATTTGCAAATAAGGAGGGAAATAATATAATGAATTAAGACCCGATTTATATGCTTGGCTAGAAGCCTTTACTAGGTTATATAATAAAGGCCGAAGCTCTTGTTATATAATGTTGCATGGCAACTGCGTGCTAGTAGTCACGTGCAGACTCACGTGACTACATTCCTGTATTTAAGCTTTGGCCACTCGTGCCACACCTCTCTTTCCTCTTCATCTATCAATATATTATTATTATAACACAACAATAATGTTTTATTATAACGTATAATATGCTTCCTTTAATTAATAAAGCAATTATATATTACTTAGAGAGCTCAAATACTTTAAGGAATACGATTTCGCTTCTTTTCCTTTTTCTTTTTCTTTTTCTTTTTCTTTTTTCCTTAAAGAATTCTATTTAATTAATTAAATTACTAGTTTTCTTTATATAAAGGCTTGGCTCGTAATAAAAATATTTTACTCTTTTTAAAATCTTAATATAGTTGTCACGAGACCGGGTCTGTGACGGCTGGCGTAAGGGCATGATCTGCCAAGGACAGGATATAGGAAACAGGCACAAAACGAAGCTAAGCCGGAATTGCTTGGACGGAACAATACTAAAGGTCGAGGCATCCTCCCTACTTTGTTCCACAGCTTAGTATTTTCCAATACATGAGATTCTTTGAACTTTAAGCCTTCGACCATTGCATTGATCCCGCCGTTACAGGGTCTCTGGGCTTGGAAAGCAAGGTAGAGTGGCTCTATTCCGAGGATTCTAAACTAAGGAGGGAAGCTCGTAAGTACGGGAGCTTGGTATTCTAAATACTAGCCCCAGCCGTATGCGTCATCGCGATCACGTGACGCTAAATTTACTAGTAAAGCGGTAGAGCGTAATAATAGTTAATAAATATAAGAAAAAAGATTAAAATAATCTAAATCTTTTAATATCTTATTACTTTTTAATTTTAATTTAATTAATAATTTTAAATTTCTTACTTATATTAATTATTAATAATATTTAATTATAAGTAAATAAAGATCTAAAATATAAATTTTAATTGTCGGTTCACTAGGAACGCATAGTACCGTTACGTAGGCGTAGAAGTACTATTTGTATAAAATTAGTAAAGTTATTATTATTTAGAAGTAGGAATCGCAATATTATAGTATTAATATGCAATCCCTAAATCTGCTAAGCCTAAAGGGATCTAGTCTACTGGTCGAGTTACTAATGGGATACGAGGTCACATGACTATATCCCGTATCCCATATCCTATTACCCATATCCCATTACCTATTGCCCATATCCTATATCCCGTATCCCGTAACTACGCACGTGACTCCCAGAGGAATAGCTATACTAATACTAGAAACTCTCTAAAAACGCAAAAAATAGTATCTCTCTCTAATCGCATACAAATTCCCTAATCCGGCCTAGTACCAGATTTCCCAAACGCTCTATATATCCATATTGCTTCTGAGGTTTTGGTTATATACCAAAGGCCATGGCCTTTTGTATATAACTTCCTTTTTTATAATATTCTTCTATCCTATATATCCATTTTCCGCCCTATTTGCACTTGACCTATTCCTTTACATCTAATTATATAGTATTTGTATTAATTAGGTACTTGAGGGCGTTTATTGGCTTTGATTTTATTATAGAATTAGCAGGATTTGATTTTCCCTTAATCCACTTGACTTCTGCGATTTCTCGTTATTTATATACCTGGTAGAGGTATATTACGTTAATTATTAGGCGTTTCTCTCGAGTAGTACCTAATTTGATAAGGTATTTATATAATAACTTCGAATCCGTATAGATAACTAGTAGTAGTTCTATTTCTAGTACTCTATTAATTATAGATTTAACTAAAGCACCCATATTAAAATCATAAGCCATATTATAGAGTTCCGAAGCTAGAATGCTTCTAATAACTCTCTTATATTTGGTAGAGAACTAGTAGATAATATTAGTATATCTAGTTCTATTTACTAGAACTAGAATATATCCGATTTAGGAGGAAAGATCTTTATTATTTGCAAATAAAGTATCCGTAAAAACGATTAAATATAAGAACTTCTTTGCTAGCTTTATAAATCTTAATTCTCTAGTAGTATTTTCAATTTACTATTAAATATACTTATTAAATATCTTTATATTAGTTTCTAAGGATTTAATAGCTTAAGCGGTAATTAATAGGTTATATAAAGCTTCTAATTAATAGACTAATATAATATATACTCCTTTTATATATTAGGTAATATATTAGTCTTTAATAGAGAAATTCTAATAAATAGTACTCCTATTATTTATAGTAGTAGTATTCTTTATAGAAACGGTTTAGAGATTCTTATATTAGTATTCCTATATAAGGGTAATTCTAGTAATATTTATATAGATAATATCTCTATTAAATTTGAGATTATAATTAAAAGTAAGGGATTTATACTTCTTAGCTAAGAACTTAGCCTTATAGAGCTTTAGTTATTCTACCTTTATAAAATTATTAGCTTTAATAAATAGGGTATTATTAGTTTAAAGGCTAATAATTCCGAAGGGTTATTTACTATAAAGTAAGTAAGGGTTATAAGTCGACTATTTTATAGAGAGCTTATAAATATAGTAGGAATAGTAAGTCTTAAACTAGTAGTTCCTAGCTTCCGGTATACTATATAGTGGTTTTATAACCTTTAGAATAGAATCGTTCTTTAGATTTAGTTCTCTAGTAAGCTTATAGGATAGATTAATATAGAAATTATAATTAAGTAAGGTTATTAATTAGATATAAGCTTGCAAGATATTATATAAATATAATTCTATAGTATTTATTATTATAGTAATAATACTAAGGATAATTCTCTAGCTAATATATTAGATAGTAAGTAATTATATTAATACTATATATTTCTTACTATTATTATAAGCTTAAATAACTAGTCTTGACTTTTTAAGCTCTTTCTCCGTATTCTTATTCTTGATTTCGTAATAAACCGGGAGTTAAAAATATATATTTCCTTTAGTACCTGAGATCTGGAAGTAACCTCAAATATATTCTTTTCTAGAAGGCTAGTAATTTTAATTTAATGGAAATTCTCATATAATTTATTATCCTATAGGAATACCATAATATCCGGAGTCTTATAAGAGTATTCTCTACTATACTTTAGTAAAATAGCAGGAGGAATTATACCTGTATTATTTTTAGCTTTATTATTAGGTTCGGGAATAAGTTTAGATTCGGGGCTATTAGTAATAACCTTAATATCCCTTATATAAAAGGGCTTTATAAAGGTTAAATAGAAGGTAGTATTATTATATAATAGAGCTAATATATAGTTCTTCTTATTAATAGCTATTAGCTTATATAGTCTATTCTAACTACTAGATTAACTAGTATTTCCTTTATACTAAATGAGAATATTTGAATTCAGAAATAGTTTATAGATATTAGTAGTACTAGGACTATTTCGGGTATTTAAAGTATTTGTAATTTAATATCTAGCTCGAAGCTTCTGAATTTCTACTATTACTTTCTTGAATACTACTAATTACTATAATATAGTAGGTAATAGGGTATTATATTTAGTTATTCGAGGTAAAATACTATAAACCAAAAGAGTTAGGATAATACTATTAGGTCCTATAAAGTTATTAATAGCCTTAAAAGCTATTTGGAATATAGTAGCCTTATTAATTCTATTAACTTTGGCTATAATAATAAGATAAGTATATTAGATCGGGCTATAGTAATATTCTATAATTCTAATAAAATTATAAGCTTTTATAGAAATAATCTTAACCTTAGTTCCTATAATATTTATAAGCTAAACAAACTTCTTATTAATAAACTACTTTCTAATATCTACTATAATCTAATTAGGAGGGTCTAAATAATTATTAATCTAGTATTACTTAAATATAT